GTTGTACAATACAAAGCCACAATGGAGGCAAGTTGGCTGGATGTTTGAGGTTGGAAAAGCCCTCAGTATTAAAAGGAAGCCATCATTTAGTTAATGTGAGGCTAGTCTTTAAGTGTGTATGCAGTGACGTGTCTACGCAAAAGAAATTAGGATAACTCCGGTCTTTTCCTCCTGCTCCTCTCAGCAGGACTCTGCAGGTTTAAAATTCACCGCCTCGGGGTTGTTCCATCTGCTTCCTTGTTCCATCAGGCTGAAACACACTCACATATACACACAAGGCAATGACAGCACTTCAAGTCGGCCCAAATGTACCCCATTCTGAACGATGACTGAGGAGGAACATAGGGATTGGTGAATCTGTCCGGCAGCAGTTCCTTTTATTCCAACGCCAAAGCCAAGTTCTGCATTTAGACTGTCTTCACATAAAAAAACAGGAAAACTATGAAGATGTTGGTGGTTCCATTAGAAAACTTTTAAACATGTTTGTAATGGGCACTTTTACAGGGCAGTGCTCTATGGGGGAGAAAATGTCTACTTTAGGAAATGGTCTATAAATAAACTGCTAAGATTGTTAAATGTGAATTTCAGACTTTCCAGGAGATGATGGAAAACTTTAAGAGTAAAGAAATGACTAAATACAGTAATAAGTGCAGGGTGTGGTTATTGTGTTGTTTTGCCTCAGGATGGAACACAGACTTCAGGCTTGCATGCACGCATAAACTGTATTCAGTATATGTGTACATGAGAAGAGAACTCTAAGCAAAGTTTGAACCTTTTTACAGAACTAGAAACAGCAACTGTTTACCATCATCTCAAAAATACAGTCAGCCATCAGAATGTGTAATATCAATGTCTTGGGTCACACCATTTCAACAATAAAGACTCAAAATTTGTCAAATCAGTCAATTTGCATGGCTCCAAAACCATGGTATACTTTTTTATTTTTTATTCTAGATGCTTAAAGTTCATGTTGCATGAAACTCTCAAAATGTTGATTACTTCCAAAATGCTCATATTGAAGCTCCCTTCGGACCACACTAAAGAAAGCCAAGCTTTACTGATTTTTTTTTCCTGAAAATAGTCCATCAACTTTTTTTATGATAATATACATAACAGAAATAAGTAAATTCTTCTCAGGTGTTCCTAAGTGGGGTTGGATGGCATTTTTTTTCCTTCTTTCATCTTTGACCATGGGATGTAACTTCAACAGAGGAGGAATTAATTGAACTTTGACACTATTCCGTATGTGAGCATTAGAAACACAATGGTGGCGGAGATAGTTTTAAATGATAAGGAAACAACAGTTGCCTATTTTTCACGAAGAAAGTATACAATGTATTTCTTGATGGATCCCAAGAGTGGTGTGGTTCTTAAATTCATTTCACAAGTTTATCATTAGTTTGAAACAACAACCATCCATCTATCCTGCAGCTCTGCGATGGAGCATGCAGGTTGTCGCCCCACGTCCCGCTCAGCGGCAGCTGGAAGCACAGCCTACTCAAATAGATGGATAATAAATCAAGTTGCCTGGTTGGTGTGCATAACTACAGCTTTACATTTTTGTAAGAATTTGAGTTGAAAGGAGTTATGCGTCTTAAATCATTATGTTGAAAACATTCTAGAAAATAGTCAAATAGCTATTGAAGCTGAAAAGATTATATTCAGAATCAGGGTTATTTTTTTTGTGTGAAGCTGCTCGGAAGTTTTCAGGTGAATCACAGAGTTTCAGTAAAGGGACATAGCACTGTTCCGCAATACCCCCACAGAAAATGTGTCCTTGTCATGTTGTCACAACTGTGAATGAATAGCAAACCTTTATTTACACTTGAGCCAACGTCTGGTATTCTTGGGGTCACTGTGGGTCACTTGCTAAGCCACTGCCGCTACTGCTAAAATTAAAGGGGGGTGTTGTTTCAATTCTTTTTTGGTTGTTGTTTTTTTTTGTTTGTTTGTTTTTTCTAGCTCTGAAATTCTTGCACTGAAGGAATGTAAGATTATATTTCACTATGCAACCCATGTGAAGACAAACGACCCAGACCTCTGCTGGAGAGGCAGTCTGCTTGTGAATTGGACACATTTTCAGAAAATGCTTCGATAATTAAAGGTTGACTTAAAGAAGGTAAACACTCACACACAGTCAGTTGGCAGGTCAAGTTATCACAAGTTACCAAATGATTATTTGTCGGTTCAGAGCAGGAAACCCCTCATGAGGATGAAATTATATTCAAGAATTCTAATATCAGCTGCTTTAATAGACTCCTTTTTTGTAATAGTTTTTTTTCTTCTTCTTCTTTTTTACTGGTGAATGGCCGTGAAGTGCCCCTATCCATATGGGGGAAAAATCAGGGATGGGTTACTCACAAAGCACTTCTGTAGGTGCAGAGTTGCTTGTACTTTGGTCTGAGTTGTAAAATATCCCCTGAGAAACCTTTCACAGTGTGAGTCTTCCAGCCTCAGTAATGGTCAGGGGTCAAAGAGCAAAGCGCAACAGAAGGATCTGCTTGTCACAGTGATCCGCAGACATCCTGCCAGCATAAACCTGCCTGGCTGGACGTGGTGCTTTATGGTACAATGACACTCTTTCTGGATTGTGTAACACAAATCAGGCTGGGTTCCTAAACTAATGAAGAGTTTGTCATTTTCATATTATTTTGCAAAATACTCTTGGAATGAAGTCGCAGCCATTTAAATAGAAGAATCGAATTTGAAACAACATCGGACTGACATTTTATGCATTTGTATTATCGTCTTTCATTTGCAGTTAACTTCCTCCTTCAGGGTTGTAATTTCCAATAGTTTTACTGATGCATTCTCATTTGGTCAAAACATTGGCTGACGCATACCTGCTTTTAAAGCCATTTCCTGTAGCTTGAGTTTTAAGACTTTGCGTTATGAATTAGGTGACCAAATGAAATGTGTGTGAACTGACTGATAACAAAGCATGATCTACACTAAAATCAGTACAAGTGCCTCTCCTTTTCCTCTGTCAAGTTTAGCCAACACCAGCTCATTTCTGCTATTTCAATGCCATAAAAACAAGAGTCAGTGTGCAATATATTTGGCATTAGATCCTTTACTTTTATACTTAGGGGACATAAATGCAAATAGCTCTTGGACCTTCTGCCTACACATTTTTGTTTAACATGGACTTGAGACAAACTTTTGGTCCACGTGTTGTGTCTCACTTCTGTTCTGAAACCACATGCAGTGTCCAGCTGTACTATTGAAACTTCAATTACACCAAGCAACCGCAATCTATAGCCTCCGACTGCACAGCCCCATCAGGATTAACTCCTCTTGGATGGGAGAAAAACTTCCTAAACTGTCAGTGCAGAAAGGGAAAGGGAGCTATTGGAGTTAACAAGCTCATTAGTGGACTTCAAGACAATGTTCGGGGTTGTATATCTGAGTCTCAGCTTGCAGTGGAGCCATCGAATGTAAGTCCTACCTACAAATTCCTTATGTCACCTCGCACGGCTCCATCCAGCACCATTATTGTGACGACGGGACTCCATTTTGGCTAAGTTGAGTATTTCCGATCCAAAAAGTGTGATGGAGCTGTTACGCTGTGCAGACATGTAGAAAAGGATTTCGCCTATAGTGGATAAAGCTATTCACTCTGCACGTTTCCCAACTGATGTTTATGACACTGGAACCTCTGCTCATTCTCCTCCTTTGAAGGCATGAATATAAAGAGACAGCAAGTTGTTGTTTGTTTTTTTGGCTAGGTGGGGTTTGCTTTGTTTTGTTGCAAAGGTTATTTGCTAAAATGAGAATGAGTCATATATTTGTTGGAAACATTTTTTTCCAGAGAGATGAATAGAACAGAATGGTACATGCAGAGTTGAGACAGGATGAACTGTGCATCATTATGGAAAAAAAAACACAACAGTGCTGTCACTTTGCGTGTCAGCCGTGGACGTGAGCAGTACCCTGAAACTGACTATATGCCTTAACTCCACAGATAAGAAAATGAATCATCGTGAAATGCATCACTTAAATCCCCCTACTCTAATTTGCCCCAGCTGAGGAGTCTGTCGGCATGAAAAGAACAGGGAACCTGCCAAAAAGAAAACAGGCCCTTTCACAAAAGAGGTATTGGGTTAACATGAGATTTTTTTTTTTACACAAAGAAACGTCTTACACTCCATAAACAGATTCAAAGCATTTTCACTGTGGTTGCCTTTCTTTTGTACTTCTACCAAATCCTGTGCCTGCATTTGACAGGGTCCTAAGCCCTCGATTCTCCATGAAAAAGGAGAAGGAAATGGGTGGAGCATTGTTAGGGAAGAGAGTAAAAGGGTTACTGGGCTACAGATGGACCAGTGGGTATGACCAGCCGTGTCTCATTTTCACACAGAGTAGTAATGAGAACCTGCTGGGGTGATGTTAAGCACAGGCCTGAGCTCGGTTTACGTCTTCCCCAAACCTCTGACCTTAACTGTCTGTGAGACTGTAATGCTGCCAGTGACCATGTCGGAGGGAAAGGAGTATTTAGATAAGGGGGGAAAAGTCCTTCCTTTTTATTTGGGCTTAAATTGTATTTGTCTGTGTCCATTCTGATCCAAGTTACCTTCATACAGCCATTTTTAAAAGACAACATGTTCCGGATGAGACTGCTTTATCTCATGTTATACAAATTAGATACATCAGGGGAAACCTCCGAACATTTTGCATGCGCAGGTCAAAACGGAATATTTGGTGGGTACAATGAGGTCAAGCCAGCTGATCTTTAGCTTAAATCATAGGTCATATGAAAATACTGAACATACTTTGAAATGAGGAAGGAAAGGAATTTTGTGCTTGCAAATCAAGGCTAGAGGATTTTTACGCCCACATTGGAAACCGTTCTCATTCATATTTTTTCCAGTATCAGCAGGTCTGACCAAAAGATGAAAAGTCCTTTGTGTTTTAGCCCACCCCTTAAAAACATCCTAATTCTAATTCTTGCTTAAGGTTTTCTGATAACAAATGTCACATGTACCATCTGCCCAAGTAAAAGCCACACAAGCTATACGGAGTCATTGGGAAAATATTTGTCTGTAATTTTAGGTGAACTGATCCTTTCAGCAAGAAAAATTCCACATGTCTTGCGTTGAGTCTTGGGGGTCTGAGCCTGAGAAGGACCCCGCTGCTGTGTGCAGCTCGTGGGGGTCTGAGAGCAGATAGGTGCCAGAACTGCAGGGCTGGAGGAGGGAGAGGCAGATTCGGTTTCACTCCTGGGTGTGCTGAGTGGAGGTCTGCTTCTCACACCAGGGCAAGCCATATTTCACCGTGTGCTGTGAACCTGCAGACCTGCCCAGAGGATTTCACCACTCTTAATGATGGAAAATTAACGCTTCACTGAGCTGAGCTAAATGCCCCCACTGACATTCCCACTATTTACAGCGCGAGTCGAAAAACAGCAAGCCGAGGGATCACTCGAGGTATGTTTCTGCTGATTTGGGCGTGGGCTAATGAGGAAAACCTGTCAGCCACATTCTGTTATGATTCCAAGCAGTGCTGGAGACCAGAGACTGAGAGAAGCTGTCAAGAAAACCGACTGGTGATAAAATACTGTGGGCCACAATTAGAAATGATTATGTTTCTCAGACCCCAAGGAGCAACTAAGGAGAACTTGGGGGTTTTCTTTGCCAGAAAAGACGGATTTGTCCTGGAGGCTCACCTGACATCAGGAAACTCATTGCGCTGAGCAAAGAAGAGGTCTGCGCACGATCTAGACTCCTCCCAGACACGTCTCTTAAGAAAAGCTGGAGTTAACCGCAGGAGCTGGCCACTGACAGACGTTACATCCACGCGAGCAGATGTTCCACAAACCCTGAACAAGACTCGATTTGACAACTTTTACGCACCGAGGGAAAAAAAAAATGAGGGTCTTCATTTCGGCCGTGGCGGTGTTGTGTGTGGCGTCAGTGCCCTGTGTGGAAGCTATCCATGGACTGTACAACTTTGGCCAGCACGATTTATTCTACAAAAAGAACAACTGCAAGCAAATCCCGGCCAACCTCCTGCTTTGCCATGATATCGAGTACACGGAGATGCGCCTGCCCAACCTGCTCGGACACGAAACGATGAATGAAGTTCTGCAGCAAGCCTCGTCTTGGATCCCTCTGGTGCAGAAGCAGTGCCATCCGGACACGAGAAAGTTCCTGTGCTCCCTCTTCGCCCCGGTCTGCCTGGATGATCTGGACGAGCCCATCCAGCCGTGCAGGTCTCTGTGCGAGAGCGTCAAGCGCGGCTGTGCGCCTGTGATGTCCGCCTTCGGCTTTCCATGGCCGAAGATGTTGGACTGCGACCGTTTCCCACTCGACAACGACCTGTGCATACCACCTGCAAACATGGACAACTTCGTGCCGGTCACCAGAGAGGGTAAGGTTTCCTTAAACATGTATTTGAGTTGTTGTCCTTTTTTTTTTTTAACCATCCAAATCGTGCATATAAAGCATCTGGTAATGTTACACCTCTGAAATACTTTGCTCTTCATAAAATGCACGTATAACTGTTTAATTTTTACTGAGAATACACAAACTCTGTTCTTTCCATTGGGATCACGTGCTTTCTGTATGTCCCATAAAAAATGCATTGTGTGTTTAATGATGGCAGCTCATTTACTATATTAATAATTTCTCTCTTTTAGTTCCCAGAGTGTGCGATGCTTGCAAAGAAACTGATGAAAATGACAACGAAATTGTTGACAACATTTGCAAGAATGACTTTGGTAAGTTGTCAGCTTTCGTTAGAGCAGTAGTCAAAAAAATATGTGCAATGAACCCAACAGGTCATCAGAGGAGGGTCAAGGAAATTTAAAGCAGCCCTGAAATGAAGGAAATTACTACTTACTAGAAAACCATAAAAGGAGTGTGTGTTTATTTTTTGTTCATCTTGCAAAAAAAGTACATTGGTTGTGTCCATCTCAGTTGGCTAAGTATTTGAAAGCATTGCTCCTTTTACAAAACAGTTGTTAGAGCATAAAGTTGTAGTTACAAAGTTTCCCAACAAACGCACAGGCAACAGAAAAAATGCAGCAAAGGTGGGGTGGTAAGTGACAGGAATTTATTCATGATTTCAAAATAAAAATGTCCATTCCTTCCTCTCTATTTCTCTCTCTCTGTCCCTCCTGCTAATATCTGTAGCTCTGAAAATCAAAGTCAAGGAGATCTCATACATGAATGGTGACACCAAAATCGTGCCAGAGAACAAGAGCAAGACCATCTACATGATGAATGGTGTGACGGAGCGCGACCTGAGGAAGACTGTGCTGTGGCTGAGGGACGGGCTGCAGTGCATCTGCGAAGAGATGAACGACATCAACGCCGCCTACCTGGTGATGGGCCAGAAGATGAACGGTCATCTGGTCATCACCTCACTGAAGCGCTGGCAGAAGGGGCAGCGCGAGTTTAAGAGAATCTCACGCAGCATTCGTAAGATGCAGTGTTAGGAGGAAAAGTGGAAAAGATATCGAGCATTGTTAAAAAAAAAAAAAAACAGTGCCTGTTTAAGCAGACGCCCAGCTTTCAGCTACGGGTCACACGGTCTGATCTACAGGGCTTCGGACACGTCCCCCCTGCCACCTTTTACCTGTAGGGTAGCTGTTGACTTTTAAGATAACAAAATATCACGTAACGCAAAGGCACACATGGGAGCAAATCACCAGATAGAAACAGAATCTGTTTATTTGATTTTTCAGGCTACTATTCATGTGGATTCACAAGCCTTTGTAACAATCCATCAAACTGGGAGGTCAGTTTCCTTCATTTTGAATGGAGCAGGTGCCCCCTAGTGGACAGTTTTATGAAGCTGAACGCTGTCACCTCTTATCCTCTCTGAGTTTGTTTTAACCTTAGTGACGTTTTATGTCAAAGTATGAAAATTCGAAAAGTTTATGTAATAACACAATTAAACACAGTAAAATGAAGTATAGTCACTGCGAATGTTTCTCCACCAGAATAGTAGAGCAGACTAAGCTCAGCATATGTTTGCGGTGCGGAAGAAAAACAAATGACACGGTTGGATTGAGAACAAGCTGAGTTTTGAGGCCAGGATTTAAGATGATTGGCTCACATAATAATTGGCAGATGTGGCCTCATCCAGCATAAAGATATAGCTTTTCAGTCGCAAACAAACTTTTTCTTTTTTGCTTTCCTGCGGGACTTGATTTGTTTTTGCTTATTTTTCCTAAAGAAACCTCTATTTCAAAAATTCCATAAAAAAGCTTCCATGAAAAGATTCGGAGGTGTAGGCGGTGTGAATTTGGAATTTTGTATCAAAAGGCACAAATGTGCTCCAAAAAGCTCTAGTACAATGTTTTTTAGTGTTTCTCATGAAGAATTTACAGCTTTAGAATGGTCAACCTGACATAAATCCACAGATGAAAAAAAAAACGATTCAGTTTGTATGATTCTTAAAGGTGTATCTGTGGGCATTATGTAATTTTGGAACAATATTTGTGTTTTTCTATTCCTTCTGTTTTCTCAAGCAAAAATGAGAGATAGCTGGCTATATTCTCTTCCTATCAACATGTTATTATTCTTGGTAAGCCTTTTGAAAGTGTGCAACTTCATCATTTTCTATAACCATTTGATAAAACTAATATTTTTCTACTCCAGGTGTTCATTTAAACTTTTGTTCCGATTTACCTCCTTTTTATGTGTTCAAAGAACTGCAAATATCTTATTTTTGGGCAGTTATGTGTTTATGAGCAGAAACTTAGTAAGTAATCAAGAGATTGTGTGTATGTTTGCTACAGTATGTAAAGTATTTTTTAGAAGTACTACAGTGTAAATATGAAATACTGTCATTTATTCTTGTATAAAGCTTTTAGCAATTAAAAGCTGCCAGCAACATGCTTGAGACGGTTCAGTCTATTGTGCGTTTGTGTCTGTGTTTTCACAGTAAATTTTGTCTGTGGCCATAAGATGAAAATAAACTAAACAATTTCTAGTAAAATGTACCAGTTAAATCTAAGCTAACCTGGTTACCCTAATAACCAGATTTTTGGTCAGTTGGAGGACACCGGGATACCCAGAGAGAACAGAGAGAACACATATATTCAGAGAACATGAAAACAATTCAAAATTGGAAAATCCTCTACTTTTGATGCATTGGGCTGTCCAAAGAGGAAGTATCACCTTATCAGTCAAACAAAGTCTTCTGGGATTTCTTAACAGACAGTACAGTTTTCCCTCTATTTTTTTAAGCTGTAAGTTTTTAAAAAACCGAACAACCCACCAAAGACTTTTTCCGTTCTAATCCAGCTGGCTAAGGGCAAAAGGCAAAGTGTATCCTGGGAAGCTCACCTATTAATCACAGGTTCATAATCAGTCATTATTCACTTAAATCCAGTGATTACTTTGAAGCCATGCAAAGCGATGTCACTACAACAACAAACTGGCAATGATCAGGAAAACACCACTGTTATTTGACAACAGTTTTATCCTACTACCACCACTATTACTTGCTCACTTAGTTTTACACTTCTGAGCAAAGCATTTCACTCACTGTGACCAGATTAAGGTCATTATTGCTGACCTCAAAGCCCTGGGGAGTCCAGGACATTTGAAATGATACGAGATGATGACATTGGCAGATGAGCCCCCTGAGAGCTATCAGTCACATGAATCAACATGAACTGAAGTGAAACCAGACGAGGAGGGGGCTGTACAAACACCTTCCCCTAAAGTATTCACCCTACCCATTCAGAATATTCTCCAATAAAGTGAGTTCATTATGCCACTGTACACATATCATTTGGTTAATCTGTTTTCCAGATTTAGTACCTTGATTCAAACCATTGTTTCAGATAGCACATGACTGTTGTGTGATATTAATGAGTCACCTCCACGTTTCTCACATGGTATGTCTGGCATTGAAATACCTGGGATTCCCAGCTGGAAGTCCTCTTCCACCACTGTGTTGAAAACACTCTTATATAGACATTAAACTACATTTGCTCATTATTCACAAATACGAAAAAAAGAAAGATTAAATGTAGGAATTGTAGGTAAATACTTTCTGTTTTGTAAATGGGATGTTGTTTTGTTATTCCTAGACATCATCCTGTTTATTTATTTAAGTTCTAGTACACATATAACCAGTAACTGCAGTAACTGCTGTTACAGTCCTTTGTATCTTTTTCAAATTACTCATGGGGTCCCAATCAATGGACTAAGACATGCTTATTATTAACCTGTCTGGGAAATAGGCGGTATCTCTACCTCCAAGGACTCCTTCCACAGAAATGATAAACCTGAACAGTCAAAACCATACAAACCATAGTGTTTTCCACCATCCCTGTGTGCAGAAGCCACACGGGGACTGGCTCCCACTGCACGCGGTTCCGGGGACCAATTCAGTTGCATCATAACGCAGAGTAGAGTCCGACGCATCTCTGGTTGTGGGGGGGAAACTCATACAGGGAGAAAAGAATGGAGCCTGAGGGGAATTTACTGTGACAATGACTGCTCTGATGTGACGCGCAGGGCTGGGAAATGAAGAAACACTGTAAGTTACGCTGGGAAATGGATCTGCTTTGTCTGGCAAACCTCACACTGCAGGTTTTACACTTCTGTTCAAACTTCAACACACTGTTGGCATAAAAAAAACAACTCAATGCAGGTGTACTTATTCCCATTCTTGTAGTCTTTGGGGGAAATAACGATCACATGCTATCATCATGTGAACGTCAGACAGAGCGCTCAGGAACGCCCTTGGCTCACAGAAGTTGCAAAATCCCGACGCCCGTGAAGGCAGCAGAGCTGTCTAAATGCGGTGGCCGCTGGTGGGACTTGGCAAAGATGTGTGTTATTATGCTTATGTTCTTGAAAATGATCCATTTGAGCCAACCGCCTGACAAACTCTGTTTTACCGACGCACAAAGGCAGAAAACCTTTGAAAGGTGGCAGGCGCTGCTCCTTTTGACGAAGAACAAAAAAGTACGCGGGGAAGTTCCCTAGGAAATCCCCCAAGACCTTCGGGGATATTTTTTTTTTTAACTTATGCGCCAAATCTCCGGCAGAATTTACCTTCTCTCTGTATTTGTAAGAGACTCGGAGTAGGGGGCAGAGGCGTCCAATGCTGGATTATTAAAAGACTTGCTCTGTCTGTCTGTCAAACCGACCCAACGCGCAATGGATAACGCCAGCCTAAACGCGGATACGGACGCGCTCAAAGAGAAAACGCGGAGTTACAGCGTGCTGAACACTCTGTATCACGAGACGCGGCAGGAAATAGAGATCCTCAACAAACAGATCTTTTTAAAGGACAACATCATTGCAGATTTAAAAGCCAGGCTTGGGAAACACGAGAGGATCTACATGACGGTGGGAGAGAACGAGTCGGTGGTCATCGGTCCGTCCAAGTCTTTGGTGGAGAGCTTGCTCAAAGAAATGTGCAAACAGAAACAGCACAAGGATGATTTGGAGTTCCAGGCATCCCGACAATCGGAGGTAATGAGGGATCCTATGCACATTCTTTAGTCAGCCTGCATCCAGAAGGTGTGTGGTGGCCCAAGTCTGTCCCAGGAGTTTAGTTTACAAGTGTCAGACATGAGGGATTAAAGCTTATGGATGCGCCTTTTTGACACCACGCTGTTGTGTATTCATTTAAATAGACTGAACACATGTTGGGAGACATGCTGTGTGACACAGAAAGAACAAAAAAAAAACTGATGAGACCAAATATTAGTGGCAGTACTGACAGGAATAACTTGTTTTTCTTTTTATTTGGTGCATTTAAAAAAAAGAGCCCCCAAATTCTAACTCATTTCAAACTGTTGTGGCCATGCCCTGTCCGTAGGAGATCCAGAGGTTGACTGGTCAACTCAGAGAGCTGGAGGCCGAGCTGGAGAGCGTCCGGTGTCAGCCGGAACACGAGAAGGACCGGGAGATCGAGAGGCTGAGGCTGGCCCTGGAGGAGCGGCAGCGGGCCGAGGCCACCCGCTCCGTCCTCTGCTCCTCCCTGGCCGAGGAGGCCGAGCAGCTGCGCGGCCAGCTCGGGGCCACTGTGAGGGTCTGCCAGGGGCTGTTAGCCAGACTGGACAGCGAGAGGAAAGGGGAAGGAGAGGTGAAGGAGGTGGGCCAGCAGCAGAAGGACACTGAGGTACGTGTTGCCCCAGCCGTGATCTGCTTGTTTTCATCTGGTTTGAGCCCAGTGTTTTTGCAGGTTTATTTTTTACTTTGGGAGCAAACCCTGTTCTAATCTCTCGTCCACTATGTTTTTACAGACACTGGAGTCCTCCGACAGTGCCGTTAAATCCCGAATCCGTCAGCTGCAGAAGGAGAACGAACAGCTAAAGCAGCGCGTGACTTATGTAAGTAACAGGAGAACATGTTCCGACAATATTTCCATTTTTACAAATACGTCGCCCTTCTTGACTTTGTTCCACACGAGCTTAATAGTTATTTTACCTTTCTTTTTTCTATAGGTTCAGGGCCTGAATACTCAGTGGCAGAGGTACGACTCGAGCAGGGAGGAATACATCCGAGGTTTATGTCAGAGGCTAAAGGAGAGCTCTGGGCAGGGCTTGATTCCTGTAATGGGCCCGGTTAGCACAGGGTTGCTTCATCAGGAAATTTCCAGACTCAACGCCTTGCTGGAAGAGAAAATAACAGAGTGCGCAAGGCTGGACAGAGAAGTTGAGGAAATAAGGAGACAAGGCCAGGAGCAAATCCAGACACTGGAGCAGCAGGTGGGTGCTACGTTATTTTATTATTCACCTTAGCCTCCGCTCGGCTCGTAAGGTGCCCTTAGATCACCTTTTCTGTACCTGTATGTGTATGTATATTGGTTTGAATTTGGTTGTGTTTTTTTCCCTTTCAAGGTTCTCATCTATACAGACGACTTTAAGTCCGAGCGTGCCGACAGAGAGCGAGCGCAGGGTCAAATTGATGACCTGAAGGAGCAGATCGCTCAGTTAAAGCAGCAGCTACACAAGCAGGTGAGGGCGGGAAAAAAAACCCCACCCGTCTGGCAGGTGTGGGCATCGAAAGCGAGCGTGCCCTTCTGTTGCTGATGTGTGGCTTAACAGACCGTTTGTGCCTCACAGCAGGGAGCAGCCAGGGAGGCCAGAGACCTGGTTCCCATGTGCCACGTGCACATAGGACACCGGATCACCTCAAGGCGAAGCAAAGAATCCTCCGAGCCTTTGGGCAGGAGCTCCGCGGAGAGGCAGAAGCAGCAGAAGCAGCAGAAGCCCGCAGCGGCCGCCCTCACCGCCGCGCCCAACTCGGACTGGAACGAAATCCCGGGCCTGTCAGAGCTAGAGTGCCCGCAGTGCCACGCCAGGTTCAACGACACCGAGGCGGCCGAGTACCTGAACCACTGGGAGGAGTGCGCTCGGCTCTGAGCGGAATCGGGACTCCTCCGGTAACTGAACACTTCAGAACAGCACTACAATGCAGAGAGAAAAAAAAAAAAAAAAAAACGCCTGCGGGGATACCAATTCGGAGATGATTGACTACAAACGAAACAACTTGAGATGTTTTTTAAAAAGGTGACGCGAAACCAAAGTTCCCCTCTTGCAAGAGAAACTAGTTCACTTGGGCTCTCTGAGCCTGCAGCGTCATAACCCGCAGCCATCGGAGGACATCACACTGGTCTGGGAGGAGGACGCCAATGCAATATACCAAATGTTATATACCTCAGTGTGTTAGAAAAAACAAAACCTTTGCACTTTGACGTTTAGCCAAAAAACTAATAGTAGGATCTTACAATTCAGAGATTAATGTTGCATAAGCTTCTTATTTTGGATCAAGACACCTAGTTTTTTATGTGGTGCTATTATAGATTATTAGTTTGTTTTTTAAATATTTTTGATAAAATATATATTCTTAATGAGAGATTTGAGTGTATATAGATATTTTGATATTTATTCTCTTTGTATATCTAACTGGAAATGTTTTTAGGGCAATGTTAAGACGTTGTTTCCTTTCACTGAAGCCATAACATTCATATACAGAGGAATATATATGTAAGGTATGTGTATGTGGTATAAAAACTATTTTAAAAAGAATACATGACAGTTTCAGATTCACTTTTGTGTGTGCGACTGCATCCAAACTGACAATATTCCTTTTTTTTTTGTGTAAGTGGTATTTTTGTAATAAAAACCCTGATAACCCGCCCATTATCTTATGATCATGTCTAATGGTTTGAAACGTGTATTTAAATTCTTGAGACAGTCTGCCACTCCAGGCTGCAGCCACAGCCGAAGGCCTCACCATAAAAACATTGATGCTACTTCATCTAAGCGCATGCATGTCTGTTCAGCTCGTCACGTGTGTATTTGCGCTTGGTGGAAAACCCCTTCCGAGTGTTTCCTGAATAGGCACGCTGTGCTACGACGGCCACATTCCCAGCTGTTGTGTAGCTAAAGGAAACATGACGGAGGGCACCGAGAGGGCCGTATCCAGTTACACCCAAACCTCAGCAACTGAACTATGGACGAGCGGGCTGCCAAAACATCACGCAGTCAGCGGCCGTGAAGTATCATTTTGACACAAACATGACGGCGGTGATGTTTGGTGAATCAGATGTCATGGGGTTTTGTGCAGCATGCACAGGAAGCTGGACATCCCCTGTTTAAAAGGGAAGTAGGCCGTCCCATCGCACAGACAAGACTTTGCCAAACAAGGACTTGAACATGTGCTTGATTACATACCCTGCTTTTTTCTGGACAGAATGGCATCATCCACACAAGCTCAAAACAAGATCAGAATTTTTTTTTTTACAAAGACATAAGCTAAATCTGAAGCTTCAAAGTGTTCAGTAAGTGTTGTTTGAGCACAAAAAGAGGCGTGAATCTTGTCTGATAAGTCCACTTGGTTATTTGGCAGCTTTCGGTTACAACCTTTTCAGCAATTTCCTGGTATGCTTCAGATGATTGAACTTTTCAATGATCCAGTTTCAGCCAAGCGATGCAATAGATGGCTCACAATTAAAACAAAAGACCTAAATGCTGACTCAGTGACTTTAAGGTATCCTGTGGCTGCAAAACAACTCCAAATCATCATCTCTCTACCACTGTGCTTGAAAGCTGGTATGCTTCTCGTATGTGATGTTTGTGTTGACATGCTGCTCTCGTTCTTTCCAGATGTAGAATTCTTGGTCACACATCTCACTTTGGGTTCATCTGTCATTGGTCCAGAAGTTGTGTGGTTTGTTCAGACGCAATTATTATTTTTTTTTGCAAGCCTAAGCTATTCTGCAGGCCCAAGTTTTCCCAACAGGGTGTGAAACGCACCTCTGAAGTATTTTGTCATCCGTCTGTGCATTGCATAGTGTGACTTTGAGGGAAACTTGCTGTATTATGGGCTATCCTAAACGTTTCCACATTTGAATTTTCTTTGTCACAGACAACTGATGGATTTAAAATAGTTAGAAAATGTTACAATAACTTTCGCATAGTACTGACACCACAGTTGTTTATGTGAGATTGTTGCTGTTGTCCCAAATAGATCATAGGAAGTATTGTATGCTAACTTTTTTGTCAGCTAATGGGGAAGATACTGTATTTGTGGCTTCAATTTTTGTCAGACAAAATATTTAAATATACATAGCCCACTGACTGGACTTCAACTCCCACTCAGTGACTGATGCCAATTTAAGCCTTTAAAGGGCAATTTTCATATCTCATCTATAAGTAAACCACACACAGACGACCAGAAATACACATAGACCTTAAAAAGGCCACGAGGTGCCTGTTGGGGATTCTCCCCCCCCGCCAGCTCACACCTACGCATTACAACAGGGCCTAAAAGCAGCTAAACTTCCACACACACAAGCCTTCTACCCACCAATCTCAGAGTGGAAAAAATAGGTCACAAGTCCCCACCTGAGTGTCTGGGAACTTTTCTAAGAAACAAAGAATTAAAAAGAAAAAGGTTATAGTATTAGATCAGTTCCTGTTGGAAACTGGTTTCAAAGCTTCAGGATGTAGTGATGTAGCTGTCATGTACTTAAAGAGATAGGGGAAACTTCAGCCCGACACTTATCCAGGCAAATACAGAATGGATATTGTAGATACGACCTTTAATCTTCTTTGTATCCAAAAGAATGGGAATTTCCCCCGTTACGAGGGAATTCCCAAAAAAACAGACGAGTTTTCTTGAAACGGATTGTTTGGGACTCTGGCAGATCATGTTAATTCAGTGTTTATCAACTGACGCAAATGGCACTAATGCTAGCGCCTTATTCTTTATTTTCCATCAGGCTTGTGACGGGAGTCAGCAGTTTTAGCTATCAAAAACCTAACTGTTCTAGATCCTAGCCAGTAAGGAAGGAGGGGATTCCCTCGTTGGAACCATATGTGATCCTCCAGAGCCTAAGGCACTTAACCAAATAAACAGAATTCATATTAAAGGCTTCAGGGCAGCTGTGGTCCCTTTATGAATCCCTCTCGACACTAACCCCTAGTTATTGTCAGACTGGTCTAACAGTCTAATTTTCTCCTTTGTTCGTAAAGGAAGCTGAAAGGCAAAAGTCCAGTGAACCCTACATGTCGAGAGAACCCATATAAGTGACATGTATATTTGAACTTAACACTAATTGAGCAGTGATTTTGTGGCCCCTCATCTCTCCAAACATCAATCTGCCCCATTTTTAGGTTTTATCTAAAAGACGTCCTTTGTTTGTGCCTTGAATATTTTTAGGGTGTTTTTGACTCCTCCATATTTGCATACTATTATGGGGCATTTGCCTTAACGCGGTAGATCCGATGTTCCATCAGTGCTGACTAAGAGTGAGCACATGTTACAAACAGCCAGACATTCCTTCAGACCTGAAATGATTTATGAGTCATATCTGCTGGCTCTCTCAAATCTAGACTTTTGCCTTCTGTCAAATGAATTACATTTACCAAAGGGGTCTCATTCATCATGGAAGAGCTCATAGTGAAACCCCCACCGTTTTAAGAAATACCGTCTGTTGGTAAATGTTAAGAGGAAGCAGTGGTGGACACAACCATAACTTACTTCCTTGTCCTAATTATCCATTCAGCTCTATATACTACCCTGGAATATATGACGGCTTTATAACCCAGTATCGAAACACTTCTCATGTTTATAAAAACTTATGCTGGTGCTTCTATTTAATAAGAAAGATAATATGGAATTAATCTCTTTTATTTACCCAAAAGATCATGTAGTTTTAGCGAATAAACTGAACAGCAGGCTGAACTTTTTAAATGATTGGTTTGGTCAAACCTAACATAGTTAGAAATTAAGCTGACTGTGTAATTGTCATTTTGGGAGAAAAGGGAAAGAATACTGTTTTATGGTAATGAAAAAGTTTGACTACATTAGTAGAGAACTTTATCCTGCAATAAGCTCGCCGGGTATAAAGCTCACTTTGTGCTGACAAAATGGACGTGTTTTATGAGTCTGAAATGAATTTTCACTGAAGCTCCACAACAGTCATGTGTAACAGAGTTATGATGTGCTGAAGTACGCCAAAAGCAACGACTTTCTGCTCAATGTACTTCTTAAGTGAAATTGAGCCTATTTGACCCGACCCCACTGAAACTAGATCTACTTGACTCAGCTACAAAGCCCCTCTTGATTGATTATGACTGTTAATTATAGGGTTTCCCAAAAGTAACCTGTGTGACTCACGACGCAACCCTGTAAGTAGTTGCATATGTGGACAGAAACAATGAGTAATGATGAATAAAATTCCTGACATTGTGCAACCTCTACTGTCAAACAATCAGTCCCTTACATTACAAATGCTAAATCTTCAAGTTTGTGTCCTTATATAACCTGATTCTATGTTGACTGACAAGACTGGCCTGCTAAAAAAAAACTGATGCCAGTCATTTATCCAGCATTTATCCTTAAACCTTTATGCAGTAACTTAACTTGTTGGCTAATGTTTGAGAAATAAACGTGTTTTTGTAATAGATATGGGCCACCCAAAACACATTCCATGACAACATAAGTTATTGAAATTCATATTTTGGGGGAAAAAAGCATGAACAGAGCCTTTTTGGCTTCAGATGGGTGTAAAAATATTCAGCTCCAACAGGATGCTAGGTTTAATGGCATCAGAATATCTTATATGAAATAGTAGTTCCCAAAATGTCTAAACTTCTCCACCTCTGCACATGGCCTTATGATGTTTGGGTCTAGCTTTCCTTGTGGTTAAGTAGTGGTTTACATTTTGTAATTCTGGCACACTTCAACACAATGCGCACACCTTTGTGTGTCGGCTGAAACTGCCTGCAGGAACCAGCTCTTCCTGCTGGCCATTTAGTCACCTATAGGTTTTGGCCCATTTGTTTGTTTTTAGCTATCTGGTTTCAGTTGTTCAACTTTCCCTTTCTGCCACACTCAAATGCCGCAGCAACTATACCACAAACTTTGAAGTTGCAGTCCATGCTTCCAACTGCATCTCTAGAGGCTTTCACTGCTTTTCTTTGTATATAGTTTTCCTGGCTTGCACGAGGGTATTTCCACCCTAGACTTCCTGGGATCACTCTCCTGTCTCTGCCGTATGCTGCTTGTGCAGCAACATGCACTGTGCACACAGACCTCGCCAGGAACCAACTGACAAGCTGATAAAAGAAAGTTTAAAGGTTACTTAGAAAAGTAGGCGCTGTGTTTCGGAGCATCCAGTTATTACATCTATAACCATTTTCTGCTACAGGACTGAACAGAAATGGCTGCAAAATACTTTGTAAGGTGTGATGTAGATTTAAGTTTTGACTATGGAATTTGTAATCCCGATTATGGCAAACGGCTAAATAATTTGAATAATTGTTATTTCCAGTATATCAGGTGTGTTTGTTACTGTATGTAGGAAATAAAATTTGACACGACACATAATCCTGCCATACTATTGTATTCCATCTTTCAAAAAAGAAAGACAAGGTTTAATATTACTTAACAATATGTTAAAAGTAGCCACTTTGGCTTCAGTGTTAATACAATGTACACTCTATGACAGATTTATCGTGTGAGTATTGTTCTTTTTCAATTTCATTCTGAAAGTACTCAGATACAAGCTGGCTACATGTCAAAAATAAAGAAACAAAATCTGTAACTGATACACTTTTACTCAACAGTTTGTTAAACAGAACCCCAAAAAAAAGAAAAAGGAAAATAAAAATATTGTCAAGTATTACAGCTTCCTCCTTTCTGTGAAGTAAGGTGGAGGTGGTGGGGGCAGGAGGAAGTGGAAACCAGCTAACCGAGCCCATTCCCTTGTCAATTGTGTGGATGAGATGCTGTGCTAGGAACGACGGGATAGTAAGTCACAACATCTGAAATACAGCTTTTAATTCATTACATCTCAATTCTTTGTAGTTCCATTGTCGCTTTTTTTATTTATTCTTTTTTATTTATTTTTTGAGAAGGAAACCTTCCAGACATAATTAGTATCTTTTGAACACTGTTAAGCCTGCGTGAGAAAGTATTTTCAGACCAAGGCTTATTCAGTCAAAAGAAACGCTCATCTCAGACTAAAAGCACACAAGCACGCAAGGAAAATTAATCAGATGAAAATTAGCATTTTGTGATTCTTTTTGAGTCATTTCATTTTGTTTTTGTAGGTAGATAAGTCCAGATGGATCTGTGTTGTAACCACACACAGGGACAAGAACAAAGCAAGGCAGCGTGGGTGTGTTTGGGCACAGCAGGAGAGAAGTTCTGGGTGGACAAGTGGCTAGAGGCAAAGAGGGTAGGGATGGAGTCTGGGTGGGAGGGTGGGTTTGAATAGCTGTTAAAGTACTGCTTCGTGTCCTGACAGTTACCAACACTCAGTGTGCAGCAAATGTGGCTTTCTTCAAGCTAAAGTTTGACCAGTTGATGGAGAGCCTTTGACGGTTCTGCCGGGCAGAGTCCAAGCAAAATCTGAGAGAGAAAAACAGAAAAACAGACATTCAACTTCCACAGCTCCACCACACACCACACAGCTGAGTCCTCCAGTCAATTAAATTATTTCTGTTGATGGTTTGTATCACTGATGCCTAAATATTAGTGCATTTCTCATGTGTGATCCAGACAACAGTCTCTTAAAAGCATCACCCCACCATTCCACTGCAGGTCAAGTCCTATACTAAATTAATCTATGGTAAAGAAAGAGATAGAATATTTAAACATTTCATCAGCATTTGGTAAGGCTGTGTAACTTTAACTCACCTTTTGAAATATTCCACCTCCCTCTCTGTCTCATCCATTTCAGTGCTATCCAGATCAATGTCTTTGGGTAAGAAGACATCATCTGAAAATAAACAAACCAAAACATATTAATAAAATACATTGAGTTGGAAGACATCTAGGATGCACTGGTGACTTCCTGGAGGCAGGATGGTGTCCTCAGAAATCACCTCATGTGTGTTAGATTTAGCTTTTCGAGCATGGGATCCTGTTCTCTAAATGTACTGCTGTGACACCTGAATAATAAAATGCATTGATGATAAGTAGATAAATCTAGATCAGCCACAATAGTTAGCACACAGTTTAATCTTAGAAATCCAAACTCTGCATACCTATTGAGGTGTTCATCTTGTCCCCCTTCTTCTTCTTGCTCTTCTTGGTCTTGCCTTTGGGCTGTGGTGACTCTGCACTGGGGAGCTTCCCGTTCTGGTGGGTTTGCTCAGACTGGGAGGTTGGAGGGGGAGAGGGGGAGCAGTTTGAAGCAGGGGGACTCGTCCTGCCTTCTTTTATTTGGGTAAGAGGTTGCTGCCTTTTTCCACTAGCACTTCTGTTATTACTTCTCTCCTCCCTTTGTGGTTCAGTGGTCAGTAGGGAGACGAGCGCCTCGGCAGGCCTGATGCGCATTGCTTTGGTGTCTGTTGTAGTGGTCGGACTGGTGCCATTAGTTAGCTTTGCAGTCTCGTCAGAGCACTTGTGCAACTCCAGAGCTCGCTTTACAGCAGCCTCACAAGACACCACCTTCACAGGCTGCTTAGCCTTTACCTTACTGCTGACTTCAAGTGGGGATGTGCCGTTGTGGAGGGAAACTGGGGAGTTTGGGATGTTGGTCTCATTAGAAAGCCCCTTTTCAGCAGGACGTTTAGTGCTGTGCTGTGAGTTTGGCAGATATAGGGGGTCAAATCGGGGTTCTTTCTGGTCAGGGAGGCGGATGAGGGTTTGAAGCAGTTGTGACTTTCCACTCTGAAGGTTGTCTAGGACGTTCTGAGCTGTCTGTTTGAGGGGTTGTGGGTTATTTTGAGGGGGAGCAGTATTTTCCTTGGTTTTCTCTTTCTTTTTCTTCTTGGCAGCGCGGTGTTGCTGCAGCTCTTGCAGCCGCAGCAGTTCCTTTTGAAGTGCCGCCTCTTCCTCTTCCTGCCGCTGCCGTCGCTGTTGCTCTTCCAACAACTGCTGCTCCTCCCTTTCACGGGCCTCAGCTTCCAGACGGGCCTTCTCCTCCATCTGATGCACACAAACACGAGGTCATTGTAAGTGGCTTCAACACAAACAGCATTCTGCCTTTTGCTATGAGGACGTATCCTTGGCAGTTTAAAGAGGTTTTGATAAGACTGGTGGTTACAGATGATTGTAAAATGGTCTGTGAATAGGTGAAGAAGGTTACCTTCTTCTGCTTATGCCTGGCTCGCTTTGCCGCCTTAGAACTGGAAGTAGGTTTATTGTCAGGACTGTTGATATACTGTAGCAGGTCCTCCACCCGCCTGTGGTCCTCCACCCCTCCATCTTTTTCTATGATGGGCTGCTGCTCCTCGCGCTTGGGCTGTTCCTCTTTCCGCTTTGTCAGACGCAGCCGCAGCTTCTCCCGCATTTCTGCATAATTTCGACTGGTAGGAGCAGCCGGCGGCTAGAAACAAAGCAAAGAATATCAGTGACGGTATTAAAAAGAAGTTATTTTCTTAATACTGGTAATTTGAAACAGATGTTAGTTTGAGGTGAACAGGATTACATCTTACCCCTCCATGCCCAAAGAACTCGCAGTAGCAGCAGTCACAGTACTTTCCCTCCTTCTGGTTGGTTGAAGTGGAGGTGGAGGAGCTGTGCTCAGAACAGCTGTCCTCGTCCTGACTCTCCTCTCCGTCATACGGTTGATGGTCGTATGACCCGTTACCTTCACAGCGATGGCCTTCACAGTCAGGGTCACTGAAAAAGGTTCACGTTTGAAACCAGACCGGGACACGCCTGTTAAAACGTTCAAACTTCAGCTGTATTATTGGATTTACCTGCAGACACTGGGTGGGGCGCTGACGGGGGCGTCCATGGAAGGTGCTTGAGGTTCCGCAAGTGGGAGACACAAACCCTGTTGGGACTCTACGAAGTCTGGAGCCTGGGTCGCCATCTTTGGGCTCATTGTGGGAAGGTGTGCTGTGGGTGCTGGGGGTAGGGTGGGGCCCGAGAGTGGGGGGAGAGAAGTCAGTCCCGTGTTTCTATGCGTGGCTGAGGAGGGTAGCCTGTGGTCCTCTTTACCTAGACTGTGAAATACATCATCTGGAGAAGAGAAAGGTGCACAAAGTTTCACCATGTACAATTCTGTCTATAGAGAACGTTGTTAAAATGCACTCATGTAAACCTCACAGTAGCTGTTGCTACTGTGAGGTTTTTACCCCGTTTGCAGCAAGTTGGCATCTGCTGACAGAGGCATGTTTTGGCGCACTGGAGTGGGGTCTGATTTTGGTTTTATAAAACGTAATAAAAACATCTTTGTATTGCTCTTTTAATGTAGCTCCACTTTCTGCCTCATTCAATTTATTGTTTCAGTACAATTAATCATCATGTTTTTTATCTACTTTAAGTACTTTAGACAAGATCAAATGGAACCACTAATTGATTCAAAACATCCTTTAAGTTTACAATTCATTGAAAGGGGATGTTACAGTATTAAACTGTAGGTGTGAGTACTGTACAAGCAGTCACCAAGCTAATTACAATAAAAGCTCCATCAGTACAAACCTAACAACTGCTCCTACTTCCTATATTACCTATAGAGTTGGGTCTTTTGGATGCTAGGTGGATGGGTGGGTTATTACTTGACTGGACAGTGGTTGCAGTGCAGGACACAGAGGAAGTGGAGGCAGAGGTGGCCATCACTACTCGGTTGGTTTCCATGAAGGCATCCTGGAAATTGTAAAGACACTTCTTCTTGGCGCCAGTCTTCTTCGGCTCTTTGGCTTCTGAAGAGGAACAAGATGATGACGACGATGATGATAAAGATGATGACAGTGACGATGAGGACGAAGGGGTTTGAGCTGTGGACAGAGAGAGATGCTCCCCTTGGGGGCCGATAGAAGATGTGGGTGGGAGGGGCACATCAGCTAGGGGTGATCCAAGCATATCACCTGTGGATGATCACAAAAATGTAAGGCATACAACATTATTTCAACTGCTTTAGATGAGCTGACACTTTTATTTTCAGAATGAACGGTTTGTGGTTTCCACTGGGGTCACCTGGCAGGCATTCAGGCAACAGCACTGATGGATTCCAGCTCTTCATCACAGCAGCATCCCACAGATTCTCAAACTTGAAGGAGAGGCATTGTACCGAGCTATTCCAGTCCCCTGCTCCCCCCGTTCCACCAAAGCAGTTTGGGTATACGTGCTCTGGTAATGATGAGCCAAAGGCTGGCTGCTTGGCTGCTGAGTGGTTTGCTGTAGGATTTGGGGGCATGGGCTAAAAGGAAAAAAAAGTATCATCAGTGGGGATTATGATAGGAGCAATGTTTAGCTCAGTTTGGGGTTTCTTACGAGTTTCTCAAATTGTGTCTAGTATATCCCCTTGTGGCAAACAAAGGAATAAATGTGACATAAAGTGAAACTAGAATGAGAAACTAAAGTAAGTTTAGTTTTGTTACTGGAACCTTTAAAAAAAACCCAGATAAGGAAATTCAAATTTCCCTTAAAGAGACTTAAAGGTGAAGGACATAATCGGTAACTACACTTAAGGACGCAAAAGCTAAAGAACACGATTCTCACCTTGCTGTGCGTCAGAGGAGGACTGGGTGGGTAGAGTGTGGGGTGGAGCAAGGGCCGGGGGAAATTGTGTAGGGGTAGGTGGCCGTGGATGTGTGGGTATAAGTGAAGGGCAGGGTGTGCAGGGGGGGTCTTGCTGTCTGTAAAGAGCTGGTGTCCCACAGTGGGGGGAGGCACAGCGTGGAGCCGACTGGGGGGCAAACATGTGGCAGGGCCCAGGGTGGAGGAATTGGGGTCCTGGTTGCACACATGGCACTCGCAGGCATGCTGGACTTGTTCTACCTGAGGGAAGTAATATGATTGAAAACAAGTTTGCTTTTAATCTTGAGAGAGGGAATTTACTCCCCATTTGACCTGTACTTGTGTAAGTGCTGGTGTGCATCCTACTGGGATAACATTCGGATGATGAAGGGCCAGTGCAATGATTACAATCCTTTTATGTAAAAACACTTTTGAAAAACTGATCGTACGTGAGCTGCTACTTTATTTATGAATGATGACAAAACAGGGTCATGTAAGATGTTTCAGTACCTGTTGGTGGTTGTAAGATGGAGGAGGACTGTTCATCTTTCCTGGGGAAAGCTCTCCCCGCTGCCCTGGGGGCGACCCAGTAGCCTCAACATTAGTTTCCTCCTCATCGCCCTCTGATGAACTGCTGCTGCTGGTAATCTGAGGGGACACAGTTAAAAAAAAGAAAAGAAAGAAAAGCAGTCCAGCATGAGGTAATGGGTGGAGAACACAGCGTTTTACAAACTACCAGTAACTGACTCATAATGAACATAGGTTTCATCATCCAGAAACTCAGCCGGGAAAATTCTTAACTAATCTTAGGCAATTTTCATAAGTAGATTAACTCACCCCGGCTTTTAACGCCATGTTTTCACCCTCCCCGTTGATGTTATTATGAAGGCCGTTTACAGCGGCTGCCACCACGCCGTTGTCCTCGTAGCTGTTCAGAGGGTAGATGTCCCCGAATTTACTGGTCAAAGGAGGAACGTCATCATCGTCACTAATGCTACAACAAGTGATAAAAGTGAAAGGAAGTATACCAATTATGTAGCCCAACATTTGGCTGAACTGACCTAAATCAATCATATGTGCGCACAAATTGCCAGCAGGGGTTTAGGAAACTGAGTGGCTGACTTACAAAGTGGTGGCATCGCCCTCGGGCGGATGGAGCCTTGGATGCTGCTGAATGGTGATGGGAGAGCTGGAGTTGGAGCCGGATGCTGAACTGCCAGACGAGAGACTGGGAGGGTGCACCTCTGCCAGGTAGTCCCGAGGTGACTCGCCCTGCAGGGGCAGCTTGATGTGGAGGTCCTCAGCGATGGGCGGGTCCATGATGCCGCATGTTAAAATGTGGGAGATGCTGCAGTCGTCACATGTGCATCTGAGGAAGAGGATGCAGATTGTGGTTAAAACAAGGGATTACAAAAGAATTCTTGGAATAAATTAAAAGGAATTCATAAAGAGACATTAAGGAGAAGTTAATTACAAAGGGTGGAAAAAACAAAGAGACCAATCACATGCTGAAAGAATGGCAGATTGATATAAGAGATTTAAAATATATCATATGGGTATGCTTAATTACTCAGTAATATCATTCTGAGCAAGTCTTGATGAGATCCCTGTATGTACACACTTTCTGAACACCTTATCCTGAACCAAGAATCAACCAAAAAATAAATAAATGAATATGCCTGTGAACTTTGTATTTATTTCAGATGACAATAAATCCCTCACATTTGATTTTATTGTGCATTTTATCTTTGGGTTCTGGCCTTTAGTGCAGTTTTCATGCCCATGTGTCAACGTGTAGGACATAAAAATGAACCTTGAACTTTAAATATGACCCCTGACAACACTGTTGAATGTTTGAAACCTACCTTCTTCTGTAATTACAGTTTGGACAGTCTGGGATACTAAGACGAGATGAAAGCATTCTCATAGTGTCTGTGAAGTTGTTGTCTCCGGTGGGTGACTTCTTACTGCTGGGTAACTAAAAAGGAAAGAGAACATTAAAAAGGTCCTGAAAAAAATAAAAACGCAAAGTTACATCCAGGTTGGCTGTGTCGATATCTTATAACTTACTTGCTCTTCAATAAACCTTCTCTGTTTAAAGAATTCCCAGTCCTCCTTCAGCATTCGCTGCTTTGTCTTTAAAGTCTGAAATGACACAGATAGAGTAAGCAGCACATAATTAAAAAGTTGACAAAGAGACAGTAAGAAAGTTTAGTAATAAAAGAAACTCACAGTTTTGCTAATCAAGGACTTATGTGGCTCTGTTCTTTGGTTTGTGAGACTCTGACCCTCCACTTTAAAAAGCAACTGTGAATAAAATTAATAATTTAGCATCTTCATACAAATACATTTTTATTAAGTTTTAGGTTTATAAAGAAATTTGCACCTGCTCATCTACATAGTCATCAATCCTCTTCTCACACTCCTGCCACTGAGCAGCAACAGAAGCCATCTCCTGCTGCAGCTTCTGGTAGCTCTCCAACAAGGTCCGGTACATATCTTCATTGTATGAATCATGAGATGCTGTGCCATGCCTAGAAAAACATAACAGGGGTTTAGGATTCAACAAACAGTAATAAGGATGTGATAAGGAGAGGCTCCAGTAATAAGGATGCATAGCATTTGAAACTTAAAAAACCAAAGAGATCATGTCAAATATAACGTCTTTGAGATGTAGGCAGAAATCATAATGAAACAATGTCTTACTTCAGCTGTGCAATCAGTGCTGGTAAACTGCTGTGTAAAATCGGTTCGGAGAAAACCAGATTCTCAAAAAGGTGCTTGTTGTGCAGCTCCCACGTCACCTGGAATTTCTGGAGGTGCTCATTCTCCTGAGGATTTAAAAAAAAAAAGGGGGGAAACAAACTCTGGTTTTATGACAGGAAAAGGAACACCATTCAAACAAATGTAAAGTGTTACCATGTGTCTTTTCTGATTCCTCAGTTGCTAAGCACACACCTGACCGGCAAGTGGTAAACTCACCAGTGTGAGCAGGAAGCTGCTGATGGTGCGTGCGGCCTGGCAGAGGGCGTTGTATTCCTCCAGCAGCAGAGAGATGAACTGGTGGGCCTGAGGAGGGCCCTGGGCTGCAGCTATAGGACCTGGGTTCTTTGAGCCGGTGGAAAGGTGCTTCAGGAGCCGCACTTTCACCTCTAAGACGTACTCTCGAGCCTGCTGCTCCAGGCGCTGGTAGAGCTGATATGGATCTTTAATGCAGAGCCTACAAGAGGAATATACAACTTTCAGTTTGTAATAACCTTATAAATGCTTATTCTCATATCATATATAGAAAGTAGCATTTGGGTTCACAGTTACTTCAAACCACTCACATTTGTTTGGTTTACCTGTTAAATTAGACTTTTGTGACTCAATGGAGTCCTCTAGTGGACAAAAAAGTGAGGTTATACCTGTCCACCAGCTCCTTCATGCCGTCTTTGTCTCTCTCAAGCGGTTGGTCATGGTCATCCGCGAGTGGCGTTCCCGTCTGCCGGTAGATGCAGCGCACCAAATAGCGAACCTCCGACCAGTGGTTCTGCAGTTGCTGTGACTCCCTCTCCGACTCCGCAGAGATCTCCCTGTAATTTCCATAGATTCACAGAATTCCAATGACAAAAGATCTTCCCTCAATGAATTATAAATCTAGTGTGGGCTCATCATTCGGAACGGACCGTCTCTCATTGCAGGCTTCACAGCTGCAGACTGTATCAGAAGGCATTGGCGTGGTGAAGTCTGGAGCAGGGAGCATGGGTAGTGTAGGCGCGGCAGTGGTCAGTCTGTCTGCTGTGGCTGCTTCCAGGCCCATGTTTCCATTCCCCCCAGGCATGTGCAAAAGAAAGTCCTGACTCTGTAAGCAACACAAAAAGGGCCAGTTAAAGTTAAATTAGCTAAAATAAAATTATCATTCGATTACAAAATAAATTGCTAGTAAATAATTGATTCGTAAATGAAGCATCCAGACCTCAATAAAAATTCTTGGTTACAAAACCTACTGCTTCATTATGTTTTTAAATGGTCTGACACGGTGTGAAGAAATTCAATTAACACATCAGCTTAAATAGGGATCAGATACAAGTTATTAGTTGTTAATCAAGTAAAAATGTCATATTATAAAGGATGAAAAAGAGGCAACAAGAACATACACAACCACAATCAGCTCCTCCCGCAAATCCCTTAATAATGCTTTAAATAAACAAATCAGTAGCCTCTGTAATAAATGTGGACATGACTCAACACATACCTGGAGTCATCATTTGGTTTTTTGAGTGGGTACAAAGGATGTCTCTGATGATTAACTAATAAACTTGTAAAACATTGAGAAACTACAACATAATAATTCAATAAAATACATTAAATTCAGTTTTACTGGGATCATATTGAAAGCTATCATCTTAAAGGTAACATTCAATTAAAATAAAAGGCAATGTGGATTAATCAATAAAGAGATCACGTAAATGGGGTCCAATTAAGGAAACCAACAGCACGTAGAAAAGTTTAAAATGTAAAACAAACCAAACATTAGTCTCCGATATGATATTGTTTGGCATTTCCATCATTAACATCTCTTAAGACATACAATGTTAATTGATTATAACAGCTTTTTTGCAATTCTGCTGAAATACTGAAGGTGTCCAGTCACCTGTATCATTCATTTAAAGGCTAACAACCACTGTACAAGTTCCCTACATAAAATGATCATTTGATTACAAAATAAATTGTTAGTAAATGATTGTGAAAAAATGAAGCATCCAGACCTCAATAAACATTCTTGCTTACAAAACCTACAGCTTCATTATGTTTTTAAATGGTCCGACACGGTGTGAAGAAATTCAGTTAACACATCAGCTTAAATAGGGATCAATTATTAGTTGTTAATCAAGTAAAAAAGTAATCTTATAAATGATGGTCAAGATTTTGGGACCGACGCTTTGAAAACTGTGCAGTGATGCCAATGGAGTCCTTTCACACCTACAAAGTTTCAGAAATCACAGCTCTCAGTCTTAACAAACCTAAATCATTTCATGTTCAGCCGGCTTACCCCTAAAGACTGCTCCAGAGTCGTACGTCGGTCCTCTTTCTCCACCGTGCGTCTGCAGTCTGAGCATACCCACAGGGGCAGCTGAAGGGCACTGGGTGTGTTGGCGGGCTGTGCCGTTCCGTTCTGGCCTGTAATGCCTGCCTCTGAAGGCACAACACTGTCTTTACGCTCACATCGACACAACAGGCAACGATCACCGGCTGTGTAGGGTGCCCGCTGGTTCAGTCCGAACGTGAACGGAGTCTGTGGGGGGATCGTGTGAAGAAACAAGGGGGAAAAAATGGGTTGTGAGATGCAAAGCCAATAACGTTTGTTCACAAAAAAGTGATAATTACAAAGACTGTAGCTTTTCGTTCGTACTAAATCCTGTGGGTTAATGGAAGGGAACAAACACACAGGAAAATAGATCATTCCAAGGAGATTCTGACCATGTTACTCATCATCATGTAGCTCTATAGCAGGACATCCGGACAGAACCATCGCCGTAGCGGAACGCTGATCAGGGAAACTACTGGTCAGATTTTTACATGTACACTTTTCTGATCTCCATTAATTACAGTGACTTAATATAACTTTAAGCTCTGAGCATGATGAAAAAGTTTTGTAAAGAAAAAGAAACTTAAACCATTTTAAAAATAAAAAGATGGCTATGGTTATGGTTATGGACAATTTTAATAGCCAACAAAGGGGATGACATATTCCTGGGTTACAGGGTGGAGCGTAGCAGCCTTTGATGGTGAAGAAGGTAATGAGCTACTGAGTAAGAAAGTCCTGCGAAGGAGTCAGGAGAGTCTGAGTAGAGTCAAGGGTGAGCAGCTGCAGTCAAGCAAGCAGTGCAGACAAAAGGTAGGTCTAATCTACATATTCAAAATGTGCATAGCATAAAAAAGCTGCAAATGTGTGGTATTCTTGAACAGCCATTTTCAGGCATGAAGAGATTTTTAATGGAAAACTCCAAACATGTCATTTAGAGAGACAAGAACAGGATTTGAGCTGTTAAATCAACATCCGCAGATCAAATGTAATGATGACGAGACAGGCAAGCAAAAACAAGTTCAGGCCATGAGACACGTCTTATTTACATACTTATTTACATACTTGCATTCAGTGATGCGTCTATGTTTTACAAAAATGTTTTTATAGCCCTCACTGGAACTACAGGAAAATGGGAACATAATCACCAGAAGGCAAAACACTAAGATTAAAAGCAACCAGATAAGAGTATATAGATAAGTGTCTGTAGTATTTAGACTGCTTTATTAAATGAGACATGACTTCTATAAAGATATGCGTTTCCGTGGCATTCACTTGACTCCTGTGACAACTGCAGATGTAAAGTTAATCCCAATTCTATGACGGTGAACTGACCAAGCAAAGCTATCAGGGGGGCATCTCATGGATGACTTTCTACAACGTCCCTCTCAACACCCCTCGTGCAAAGCCTGTACCTACTTTCCTATTCTGATTCTCCAGGTTTCTTTTTGGACTAAAGCTCAAATGTTGCACCTCAGTTATCATGTAATATCTTTATATATATCAATATGTCTGTTTTGGGATACAAGTCTGATTATCCCCTCTTTACCGTGAAGCCACTGAGACATCAGATTCACCAGAACACCTGCTAACATCTGGCTTTTGACTACAGTGTGAAAGTGTGTACCCCTAGTCACTGTTGTTTAATCGGCTCTGCATAGAAATACCACACCCAAGTACACAGACTTGGGAAGAGGCAGGAATTTTCAAAAAAAGACTGCAACTTTTCGTAACAGAAACACAATTAACAACCATAACATCCCACTAAGAGGCTGTAAACTGAAGCAGCACCTCAAGGATGAAAAGAGATGAGCTTAATTGATTCTAGCATCTGAATCAGCTGGTGGCTCACTACCTGCTGCTGTGTGGGGTTTATTGCAATCCCATTTAGAAATAAAATAAACTACTCTAATTATTGCGGACAGTGATGATTGTAAAAGAAAAAAAAAACGCTCGGACAAAGCCTCCCAGCTGACCCACTCACCCCCCATGCAAATTTACCTGAAGGACTCCCGAGAAGTCAGCGTTCACTGGTCCTTCTGTGAACTGTGGAGTAACGCTGTTGTTCAGTTTGACCTGAGGAAAGCAAACAATTCAACAGGTAAATATTCAAGACAGCTTCACACATTTTAGAGCGATTAATTACAGTCACCAGACCTTGTAATGATTACATTTAAATTGATGAAATTGCAGGCTGGCACTGAGCATTTTGGATCTATGTTGGACCAATATCTGTTGAAGAACAGTCAACTTGTCCATGCAAGGAAAACAAACTATAACTAGTTAATAAGAACAATCCAAAGGGTTTCTTAACTGTATCACCTTAAGCTAAGAATCAAGCTATTCAAAGCCTACGCTTGCTAAAAATCTTTACATATTATTGACAAAAATCCCTCTCTTTTTTAACAAAACCAGCTGATTTTAAGAGTATGATGATTATTTAAAAAAAAAAACATATCAAAGACATAGAAAAGACACAGTTTGCAACGGTGCAGAGAAATTTGACATGATCTGGTCATATTTGATCATCTAATGTTAAGATGTGCTCTTTTAAAATCATCAATGACAACCATATATATCAAACATATCACTGTTTCATGGACCCTCTCAGTGTTATCCTTTTGGTGTATACTTTAAGTATTGGAGATTGCTCTGTTAACTTGTACACCTGCAGTTAGTCAAGTAGTTATTTTTTTGTCTAAGACATAACACTAAATTGAACGTAAATCCTCCTAAATACCCTTCCATAATAAAAAGGAAGGCCAGCATGTAAAAACACATCAAGACCGGACGGAGCCTAACTTGTGAGTACTGTTAGCAAAAGCTAGCACTTATGTTTATCCAAGAAAGTGCTGTCTTTAAGCCAACTGTGCTGAACCTAATGATACTCTCAAGTAATCTTGGCTTTGTCAAACTAATCTCCACCTACATGGACTGTATTAGCTCAAAATAATGCTTCCTGGTGTCCAAGTTGTTTTCAATGCAGCTCAGATATCTTAGGCTAACGATGGCATACAGGGATCGGACAAGAAAGTTAGCTTAATCTTTCTGGGAGCTTGTAATAATATCATAAAACCAGTGTAACTAGCGAGCAACGCCACTTCCAAGATAACAGTGCATTCCAAAGTATTAACACAAACATTGGATGTAATTAAGCCAATTTCTCGCTACACTGAATTTGTTACTTAGCTAAGTGCCTAACCCTCATCAGTCTCGGGCCCAAATCAGATATGTCGTTGATAACACCGCTTGCTAGTCAACCCCGTTGACATCCACCAGTTAACGTTTTGTGACAGTCTTACCTCTCCGTTCATGCCAGTGACTGACCCTACACTTCCGCTGCCTGTACTCCCAGATGTTAAAAAGCTGACGACAGAGGCAGGTGTTGATGTTCCCGTACAGCCTAGGGCCGGAGCAACCCCGGCCTTGCCACTGGTATTGCAGACAGCACTGCAGCTACTGCCACCGCCCCGCTTGTTCTTCCTGCGTTTAGCCCCCCGTTTAGCATCGGTTGGACTCATTTTTTCCCACGAAAGAGGCGAGACAACTTGCCGTCTAGACTTGGCAGAGTCTCAAGCGGAATAACTTGTGCAATAACTCAGGTATATATCCGGAATAGCGATTCAGAGACTCCCAAAACGAGAGACACTCAGTCCCATCAAAGTGCAAGCCGACTTCATAGATTCCAATATGGCCTCTGGCCGGATCGCTTCAGCCTGGCAAATGAATGCGTCATTACGTAAACGTACGCATGCCACGCAAGCAGTTATGGGAACTTGAGTTTGTTGCGTAAAATGTTGTTTTTAGGAAAATCACATTCCGGCTATACTTTTGTGCATTTCTGTTGCAAAACGTTTACTTGAGATCTAGAGTTTGGATTTTGAGAAGTAACACTAATGAAACTTTCTTTTCTTACATTTAAGAGCCGTTAGGATTAATGGGACAATTTACTTGACGTTACACTCCTTATCATAAGACGGCGGTAATGTATCAGAAAGCTGTTTGTGCACCACAAAAACTCATCAGAAAAGTAAGCTCAACTGCAACGTGCACAATCAAACAGCAGGGGGGCCTCGAATATTGGAAACTCTCCTGTTAGCCTTAAACGTACAGACGTGGGCCACTGTAGACGTCGGACCAGTTTTTCCGGGGTCCTAACATCCTGTCTGATGTGCCTGTCGAGCGCTACAGGCATTTGGTAACTAACTGGTGGTAAATCTATGAATCGTGTGTCCTAACAGCATCAGGACAGCTCCCGGTATTTTGCAGTGTGGCACAGCGCTTGGGATTTCAGTTAACTATTGCAACGGCTAACATCCCAGCTAAGTAGTTAGCCGCATCCGCAGGCAGGTAATCTCCCCAACTTTTGACTATCGTCTTTCCTTTGTGGCTCTCGATCGCGCATCAGGCGGATTGTCTACCTATTGTCATTTCCCCACTAATTAAGGTGCTTTTGTTGAAGTTTCCCATTTGTTTGTTATCGGTGTTGTCAATTCAGTTGACGTCAAAGTCTACAGAGACATTCACGTTAATTCAAACTAGTGGGCAGCTGAGCGTTTTACAACTGTAAAGCATTTGTTTACGGTTTCGTTCAGGATTTATCGTGTCGTTCAAAGTCATTTATGGGAGTTGCCCAATGGGGTCATTCCTGTTAAAGAATACCTTTTAAAATCACTTTTATAGAGCCGTACTTGGTCACGTGATCGTGCTGCAACAGGTAATGCACGCAGTCAACAGTGTGTTCCGGGGTGGCACACGAAGAAAAAAAAAGTCCATTTGCAGAGCTACAGCTGGGTATGTGTCTGTATAACGTCATAAAAATCGCACCTTGGACTCGAAACGTTGGATGAACGGGTAATGTTTCTCTTTGCGATGGAAAACCCCGAAATCCTCTCGGAGGAGAGCGGTTAGTTGAATACACAGCCACAAGAGGAGAGCGAGTGAGCTCAAAAGTTTGACATCGTTCTATAGAAATAAGATCAATTAATGGAGCTCCTTTAGACAAAATGAGTGGTATGTATATTTTATCATTTAATTACAAGAGGAAACAATCTAACGTGGTTAAAAAAAAAATTAGTAGCTAATTTAAGGGGAAAATGAGAGTCCTGTGACTTGAGATGCATTAAGACTGGATCCCTCTTGATATCTGCTTGAGTGAGGGTTCTGCCCCCCCCTGCTAATGCATTATTAGTTGGAACAAGTGGCATTCATGCACATTGGCTTTAATTCTACAACTCTCTGACATTTGATCGAGATCAGGTGATGACTGATGACTAAGGCATATCGTTCACATCTTCTTGCTCTTCAAGCCACTGGGTGACTCCTGCTGGTCTATTGGAAGGTGGCATTTGAATCCTGAGTGAGACCTGAAGACTGTTCACAAAAAATGGGCCTTCAGTGATTGTCGAACCACCTCGAGGCCACTCGTTTAAATTGTGATCTCCCCCTTTGAATCCGTGCAGCTCAACATTTGTGTCCCACCTGTATTGGTCCTAATCAAAAGTGGAGCTTTTGTTTCTATCCCATTTCCACTTATAAGTGTTGCTAATCTTTATACTTTTGATATGTATCTCTGTGGAAAAACAAGTGCCTCTGACATTGTTTAAGATGAAAGACCTTTTCACACCTTCCTGTCTGTGTGCTTTCAGGTATGTCTGAAGTTAGTCTTGAGGTTGAGGCGGAGAAGGCCTCGGCCGAGGACCCTCAGATGGATTGTGAGGAGGCTGACAAAGCCGAGGGGAGTTTAAGTGAGGATCAGAGGCAGGAGAGTGCAGACGGTAGTGATGGAGGAGAGGCCGTAGCTGATGTGCTGTACGACATCAATATTAACAGTGATGAAGAGAGTGCAGAGTCCAGTGGTAAGGATGTTCGGCAGGAGGGCGGGGGCGCTAAAAGTGCGCTGTCTAGGGGGGTAGACGCTGGAGGACATGAGGCGAAGCGTCCGGCAGAGATGACCGAAGCACCAGAGGAAAGTGGAGAATCTCACTCTGAGACGCAGGTGATGTTTAGCTTCACATTGGAGCAAATCCAGCTGCTTTAGCATTTCCTTACTGGGCTCTCGCTTATGCTTTCGCTCCTCTCATTTTTGCTGTGGTGGCGGTGTCTCATTCCTATTTAATGAATCCAATAGGCCGAGTCTCATTGTGGCTTTTCCTTTCTTTTATCAGAAGTTATGTAGCACAGGAAGCCCGAGTTGTAGAGGGATGCGATTGGTGTTTTTCGCTGTCTCTGGTCCGGTCTGTCGTCGGGCTTCTGGTTCCAGATGCTTTGCTGAAGCTTCCAGAAAACCAGCTGATGGTTTTGGTGTGCCGGGTGGCGTCTGTCCTTTCCTCTCTGTGACCTGTCTCGCATGTTTCCACAAATGATGCTCCAGGCTCCGTGCCTTTCCTGCCTCATTTGCAGAATGATCGCTGTTAAACGTGAGCCTCTGTCGTTAGTCGTCATGTGACATGAGTGTACCTTACTGCTTGTTTTAGCTCTCACCTCCGCCGTGGGTAAGTATTCACTGCTCTGCTCGTATGGTCAGTGTGACGCAGCTGTGTCCCGCACAGCTCCTGAACTCCACACGTGTCAGTGACGTAGCCCCGTAAGTGGCAGATTTGGACTCTTGGGACTCCACGTCTGACCCCTCAGGCTGCTGACTTGCAACCGTTTTCAAGCTCAATCCTTTTTATACTGTAATCCCCATTTTTTCACACTTTAAACATTTTTTTTTTCTTTCAGCCACATTTTCCACAACTCGTCTGTCTCAAAGTTGAAGCCAAACATTGTGTCAGGTTGTCATGTAACTTGAGACGCTGCACAACAGTGTTTCCTTATTGCTGATGTAGCGGGTTGAACAGTGATGTAATGGATATCCTTCCCGTCCGTGCCGACTCCTGGGAATCTATGACGTGATCCATCCAGTGCCTGATTAATTTCCAGACAATTATGGCCTGCGAGCGCTCCTCTGGGTCAGCTCTGTATAAGAAGCTGTCCTGAAGTTAGAGAGGGGGGCTCCATTTTGCTCAGTCTGTTATTATTGATAGCTCACTGCCTTAATCACCCTGGCAGAATGAATGTAAAAAAAAAGAAATTAGTTAAAGCCTTTCCAAGTTTTATTTGTTTCTCTGTGTTGTAATCAGAGAAATTCTCCTCTCAGACTTCCTGTTTTCTACCTGTCGTCAGAGTGGACTATCATTCTTATCTGCAGTTGGTTGTTAGACAGGTGGGGCCGTGCATATCTGCCTGCATGCAGGTGTCCTGTGGCCTTTAAGTATTTATGCAGTTGCCACATGGTTCAGCAGCCAAAGGGAAGGCTTTTCTGCAGACCTAAAAACATTTTGCTTTTTGGTGCTCTGAGTATATCATCAGAGAACTTAAACTGTTGATGTCCGCGCAGACTTTCAGACTTAATAGTTTTCTTCAAGCACGCCTCTAAGGAACTGAAATCCTCTTGAACACACTGAGAAAGGGTTTCTGGTTGGTTTAGTTTTTTTTCTCTTTTCGCCTTGAAGGTTTTCAGTTGATTCAGGTCTGGTGACATACCTGGCCGGACTCTGTCGTTGGCATTCTTTCTTCCTTTGCCTCCAACATCCCTTTTTATGTTCTTCTTTAGCAAGAATTGAAGCAGTTTTTGTGCCTAAGAGGAAGCAGACGTCTCTTCTTCTGCGCATAGTGTGCAATCATTCCTCATGCTGTCTGAACAGCCACAGTAACCTGATGTGCTGTATTTTCCTCTATTTCTTGTATGTATCCTTTTTTTTTTTTCTTTTATTTAGTAAATCTGGAAATGGATTTGAAGTTGTCCTAGCAGTACTTTTTTGAATGGAGCCATGACCCCCCCATCCAAACTAGCTCAGCTGGTAGATCTGACCCTTATGAGTCCTGATACACATTTTAGGGCCACCACATGCACTAATTTATTTTTTAATGGGCACAACTCAGCTAATCTGGCCGTCAGGGATTACATAACACACATTTAGAACCATTTGATATTCATGTGTTGTAATCAACAAATAACTTTCTCTATGTAACATAAATCCAGCTATTTGAAGTTTTCATATATCATCGTTTTAAAATTTCCGGCTGCTGCTTTTTTTTGAGCAGCTGTCAACATGTTAAAGTTTTTTTTTTTGGCATTAATTTATCAAAATCAGACTACTCAGTAAATGATGTATGGATAGCTGAATGCCTGAGGTGAACATGGATTCTTTAACATGATGCAGAACATATGAGTCATTTAAATGTATGAATCAAACTGTCAGACACTGGCACTGAAACCTGTCGGAGGGAAAGCATGAACCAGGCTCCTGTTACCGTCTGTTACGGTCTGGTTGCCTTTTTCATTATTTAGGCAGTGATCAGTGTCAATGCGATGGATTAAAAAAAAAAAAAAATTCTTAGTAATCCCACCATTTTGTTCTTTTTCTGCTAAAGCATTAGATAAACAAATCTAAAGAAGTAGCATACAGAGTGTCACACTCATTAGGTCACTGTCCCAGTTTCCAAGTCCACAGTGATTAGGCCACTAAACCCAGCCCCATCTACAGTCAGCCATTTAATTCTAACCTACATACTAAAGCGCACCGCCACAAACCACTCTACACCTCGACTTATCGTGAAATGGCTTCTAAACCTTTGATTTATTTGTTCCATGCAACACTTAAAAAGATTAAAACAAAGTTGTTTTTTTTCTTGAGACATTACTGAAGCAAAAGCGTTGGGACATAAAAAAGCATGATGCGTTCCTCTGGCCCCTAAACTGTCATTAGCACATGTAAAAGGTCTCTGAGTCATTGTCAGGTTAACATATTTCCCTCTGCTGAGTTTGCAGCTCAGCCAGAAGGTATTTTGTCAGATATGGAGGTGTTGTCAGTTGGTTTTGCACCGGACACTAAAATGAATGAAGACACTCGTAATGAATAACAGTTGTAATATTTTTGGTTAAACTGTCTCTTCCTAAGACTATGTTTGTCATTTTTTTACGCCTGCTTTGGACTGAGAGTTTAGGAGATTACTTTTGTATAATTAGCAGGGCCTTGGCCCACATTTCTCTCTGTGCTAGCGTCCACAAGATGGCAGCCAGCGTCCGTCGCCTCCCCAGAGAGCTCCCTGCCTTCTTTCTTAAGCAGTAATTGCTTCATTTTACCCTCCTCCTTACAGGAGAGCACCATGGCTGAAGAGTCCCAGAGAAGCTCAGCTGCTGAGATCCCTGTCACCAGCAATGGGGACCTGGATCAGAGCCCTGAAACAGTTTTCCAGAGGGTAAGAGCTTGATCAGAGCTGCTTTCTGCTGCAGCACTTTGGCCTGATGTCATCGGCCCAACCGCTTAGCCCTCTGATGTGCGTCAGTAAGGTGTTTCTTTTGGTCCTTTTGCCCCCTGAGTTAAGGCTTTTGGGGCTTTTGGGGTGGCAATATAACAGCCACTGCTTGATTCCCAAAAGGAAAGCAGCACTTTACTCCTGCAGAAACAAAGGAGTTGGCACGGGGACAGGATTTGGGCTTGGGCCTGTAACTGCCCTGAGCTTACACACAGTTTCAACCTGTTAGGTTTCTGTACTTCCCTCTTAGCCTTGTCGCTGAAAGGTGATGGGCCTCTGAGGACATAATTACATTTTATTGAGCAAGAAACTCTTTTATTTAAGTGAATAATGTCATTAAGTCTTCTAAATTGGGATGATTCAGGTCTGTTGCAAACAGTAATTCTCATTAACTGATATATTTAGTGTTTATTAATGGATTAAATGCATTGTTTTGTTTATTGAAAGTCAGAACTAGAGTAGCAGCCTAAAACACCATCGAGTTCACTTCCTGTATTTTCAACTGACTTCATTCTAAACAGAACGCAACTGCCGTTTTTTTATTTGGTGTTTTTGGGAATGTATTGAGTGTATTGACTTGTCCTTTTTGTGATACTAACAGTTTTCATCAGGGTTGTATGGTAGGAGAGGGGGGGTTATAAAACTAACAGATCATGTGAAAATTAAGCCTTTTTACAGTTTTTGTCAAAAGAAAAATTCCGTTTAACATGAGATATTTTATTTTTCCGTTTGAACAAGATTAGATATTGGACTTGACTTAAACTACCTATTCACTGTTCATTCAGTTTGCTCATTAGTACCTGTAGAGTAACGCATGTCAGTGAGAGTATAGAGCTTTTTTTCATTTGTAAGGATCCTTATTTAGCTTGTTAAACATTTATGTTATTAGCGATAATAACATTCTTATCATTTTCAATAGGACCCCCACTCCACTACACCAGGTCCCATAAAGCCGTCAGAGTCTTATGTCGTCTCCAGCAACTCGCCTCCAACAGTAGAGGGCATCATCGAATCAGGACCATACACAGGTGAGCCCTCCCCTTTCTCCGGCTCTTTCATCTGGATGGACAACATTCTCCTGATCAGTCTTTTGGGGTTATTTTCAGCTGCATTATTTAATTTCCGTGTGTGTTTGCAAACTGCGTCTCTGTGTGTGTGCTTCCGCTGCTCCACTTTAGTGTTGTTCTGTTTGTTTTTTTTGTTTGTTTTATTGAAAAGCTTGGTGAGAACTGAAAGGTGTCGATTTGAATTTGTAAAGCTGGACATCCAATTGAATTTAATGAGTTTTCTCTGATCTCATGGTTGTGGCCCTCCTTTTCTGTTCACCGTGTTCTTGTTACAGATGCAAATAAAACTCTCCCTGCAGAGCGGAGAGCCGTTGTATCCTGCTCACCTCGCTGTTTCCATGGCAGTTTTCCATGTTGTTCTCACTGTTTGAGGAAGACTTTTTTTTTTTTTTCATTAGCACATTCGCCCTGCAGCACCAGAACAACTACCGTCACGGGGGAGAGAAAAAAAACACTTGAAATCAACATAAATGGGGAGATACCTGCTTTTATTTGTTTAGCAGGAAGGCATCACACTCTAACGAATCCTTACTGTGACTATCCCTCAGGGTCAGCAAGCCTGCCCACATCTCCCGTGTCGCCTGTAGCTCCCAGCGCGGCTGTTGCTAGCCGCCTGGCGCGCTCCTTCAGCGATAGCCAGGCAGAGAAAGGTACCCGGGGCCATGGAGTACTCTTTCTGCTCAGATTTTGTAGAAATTTATCCTACCTTTTCCTGGTTCTCAAGGGCTGCCTGACCTGCTCTTTCTCCCTTTTTGGTCATTACCTTTACTTCCCCCAAATGTCACCTAACCCGAGTTTGTTTTTTAACCCGTGTTGTTCTGGCTCTTGATGATCATTTAGCCGTCGGTAGCTCTCGCTGTCTTAACAAGGGGATATAATACCTTTGCTTGGCTTGGAAAGAAGAACAGTTTTTGTCCTTTTAACTTGCTGTTTTGTTTTGCTTTTGTCCTGCCTGCAAACTTTTGTCCTATAAAATGACCCATATACTCTGAAACTGTGTTGATGTCAGAACATTTGAACAGACATGAGAAATATGCAAGTAAATCATTTTATTTGCTATAAAAGTGTCCATTTGTTGCTTTAACTTGCGGTTTGTTACAGATATGGTTATGAGCCACCAGCTGATAATGCCAATCTTCCAGCTGTTGGCCACCGAACACTGATAGAACAATATAGAGGATCGTTTTGAGTTGTGTTTATTGTCCATTTGCTTAACTCTTGGTTTGAGAAAATACTTGCTGCTGGTATATTGGGGTTCAAACTCTACGGACCTGGACCTCATTGTGCTTGTTGGAGTAATAACCCCACTGTATTTTATTAAAAATGGTAAGGTAGGATTTTAATTTAATTAGGGGTTGCATACTATTTAGGCAATTACCAGTGCAAAACATTATAATCTTTCACTACTTTAACTTCATCCTAGCAGTAATATTAGGCATTTTTAGAACACCATATTAATATGTGACTGTGTGTTTGAAGGGCCAGGACATCCACGTGCAATTATGTAAACAACTTTTAGCAAGAATTAAAGAAAATTAAACAAATATTCTAAGGCTGAGGTGGTGTGCTTGAATGTACCATCATGGCTTGATTTCAGATGTAAATACACTTTAAATAGACATTTTTTTAAAAGTGCTGCTGAGTCACAATCAGCCTTTTGTATTTAAAAAGCACACCGCCATGCTGTATGCTCAAATTAAAAAACAGTTTAGTCTTTTACTAAGAAATTAAGCGAGAAAGCACCGTAAATGGTATTTTTCCCCTCTGAAAAATCAAAAGAGACAAAAAAGATCAACCTGCCATCCATTCTTGTTAGGCGTCTTATGTACTAGTTTGTGTTTTTTTTTCATAGATTTGGAACATTTTACGATCCGTCTCCACCATTCGTACGGCCACTTGTTGCTTCTGAATATCAAGAGAAGAAAAATTGGTATTGAGGACAGCCCAGTGCCGTGGGTGCATGAAGTCATTGTGCTTTTGTTTTCTTTCATGGCTGCTTCAACAACAAAAACGGACATGCTTACTAAAACAGTAAGATGTAACCAGAGGTTTAAGATCAGGACTGAAGCAGCTGAACAGTGAGCTTGTATTCATTTACTCCATAAAAGCTTAAAGTTTGAGGTCACTGGGGATTTTGGGGGATATTTTTATTACAACAAGCTGCCAGTCTGACCTTGTTACAGCCTTTTTGCTGCCAAACACAAATGATTCCCGCTTCACCAACAACATTTATTTTTTACTTTTCTGCTTTCTCTTTCTTCCTTTTGAGTTGTGGAGCTTTCACAGCTTGAAGCATTTGAACAGATGATTTCATTTCTCTGAATGTGGTCTTCTAATGTGTCAGATTTAGTATTTTAATCTGTTTCTTCTCTGCTGTGTTGACAAGACAATCATGTTTGACAAACTGCTTTAAAATCTTCTCTGCAGAATTGCACCATGAGAAAATCCTCACCACATTTCCGTGGCCTTTGCCTCTGATTCACTCACTCACTCAGTAAATGACTTCTAATTGTCCAGGCAGTGGAGCGGTGGTCCTCTCAGATGACTTAAAGAACCCAGCCATGGAAAAACTGGACCTAGTGAGAAAGTGGAGCATCAACACATATAAAGTAATCCTCACTGTCCTTTGAAATCCATCATCTACCTCTCCTCCTTTCTCAGCTTTTGTCCCAGTCTTTACTTTCTCTCAGCAAATTAAGACGTTGGCACAGAAGTGAGGCTGTCAGATGCCGGTGATTGGTAGGCTCTGTCTTGCATGAAACGTTTTGTTCTGGCACCACTCTGACATCAGATTGCTGCTTTCACAGTCTCACTGCTGTTTTGTTTTTTTTGTTTTGTTTTTTCCTGACTGCCCACAGTAGAAACCTCCAGTAGTCTTTTGTGTTTTTCAGGGGATTTGAGCTCTTTTTCTGCAGTGTGTGTGTGTGTGTGTGGATGTGCTGATAAGCCTGCTGTCCTCCGCAGTGTACCAGACAGATCCTGTCTGAGAAGCTGGGTCGGGGCTCAAAGACCGTGGACCTGGAGCTGGAGGCGCAGATCGAATTGCTCCACGACAACAAAAGAAAGTACCAGCATGTGATCAAGCTGGCTCAGACGCTAGCCAACCAGCTGTCCCAGATAATGCAGACGCAGAGGCAGCTGGGCGACGCCTTCGCCGACCTCAGCCTCAAGTCACCAGAGCTCCACGTGAGTCTGCGTATCTAAGGCAAATGGCGAACTTTGCCAGTGTTCTTCTTCCCATTAATCAGATGGCGACCGAATGTTTCAGAGCCGTGCGTGTGAATTGCACCCCTTCTGCTTTTCTGGAGCATCATGTCGAGCCGACAGTGCAACATATGTGTGTCACTTTCAGCTCAACACAAGTGTGAACCTCTTCTGTCCCTCTAATCAAAGAATAACATTTCCATCTGCTCAAAACCCAGCCGTCCATTTAAGACACTTTTCCTCATCTGTTAGCTAGATACGAGTTTTTAAGGTAAAAGATGTATTGCTGTGAGAAACCCGTTACTGCAATGGACAGTAAAGATGGGCAGATGGCTCCTGAAGGGAATTTGAATGTAAAACGAGAGCTCTGACCGTTCTTTTTCTTTAGGAGGAGTTTGGATACAACGCCGACACCCAAAAGCTTTTGTCAAAAAATGGAGAGACGCTGCTCGCTGCCATCAACTTCTTCATCGCTAGCGTGAACACACTGGTGAACAAAACTATCGAGGATACCATGATCAACATCAAACAGTACGAAGTTGCCAGGTAAAGTGTCATTTAATCATCTTTGCAAGTTGGTTTTGTTTCTGTTTGTTTTTGTACTGCAAAATGGCCATCTCCACAGAAATTCTTCATCCTCTTCATCAGTCAGACTTTTTTATTTATTTATTTTTTGTACATTCCCAGGGTGGAGTACGATGCCTACCGCACTGATTTGGAGGAGCTGAATCTGGGGCCGCGTGATGGCAACACCATGCCTAAGATTGAGCAATCGCAGCAGCAATTCCAGCTCCACCGAGAGAAATACGAGAGGATGCGGAACGACGTGTCTGTGAAGCTGAAGTTCCTGGAAGAGAACAAGGTCGGCCCGCCGCCACACGTGCCCTGCGCATCACATTTAATGTGTCGGCGCACTCCAACATGATCCAGTGTGTTGAGCATCTTTGTGTTTTATATGTTTGTCCTCCCACAGGTGAAGGTATTGCACAACCAGCTCATCTTGTTCCACAACGCCATCGCGGCGTACTACGCCGGAAACCAGCAGCAGCTGGAACAGACACTCAAGCAGTTCCACATCAAGTTGAAAATGCCAGGCGGAGACAGCCCCTCTTGGCTGGAAGAGCACTAAACCCACTTTTCTTCCGTTTTTTTCTTTTTTCTATCTCCTATTTTTTTGTGAAATTTCGGCTCAGTTTGACATGTCAGATGCTGCAGAAACTACAGGAAACTCCACCCCTTTTCATTGTACTGTCACTGCTTTTTAAAGTTTCAAAAGTGTAAATCTCCTAACAAAAATCACATGAATATATGACAAAAAGAAAAACAGAACTTCCACACTCCTTTTGACCTGTCTTGTCGAATCCTTCCCAATCATAAGAAATGCACTTTTCTACTGTTTGACAGATCATTTGAATAGGAGGTGCTGCAGTAATAACATCTTGAAACTCTAAATGGCCTTTTGTGTTCCAGCAAATGAATGTTGTATCCCTGCACAGCAGACCTGTTGGCTTTGTGAGGGCCATTTTAATCACAATCTATACATTAATTTATCATACCAGCTGACTTTGAGTGGGAGGAATGCTTTGCTAAAGTCTAATCAGGAGCTTTTTACCTTTCTGTTTTCTTCTCTTGTATGAAGATCTTTTTGTGGTAGATTGGACAATGTTGCATTCAGACTTCAGAATCATACAAATTGGTCACTTGTACCAGAAACTTGGCCTTACATGGTAATTTTAGGGAATTTGCTTTCTTGCCAAGGTTAAAGTGAGACGCTTTGTACTTCTTTTTCTCAGCGTGAGGCATCAACATGGGAAACGGTGGTAAAGGCAGATTCTGTTTGTTTTTGTTTTGTTTTCATTGTCTTGTCTTAAGTTAATGGATTTAACCAAAGTGTACAATCTCGGGCTGTGCTTTTACAGAGGTTTCTGTGGCCCTGGACAAAGTTAGACCTTTTTTTGTCTTTGCCGATAGCTGACTTTTTTGCTGAGCTCCTAAAACACAGGCCTTTGGCCTCAGCTTCAGGGTGAGCAAGCTGATCCATATCAAAGGGTTGTACATCATCTCCTAACTTTTGCAAAGCCAAAGCATTTCCCAAAAATCTGAAACATTGTTTTTAGCTTGTACACACGTTCAGGGCAAATAGATGAAAAGTAAAAGTTGTTGCTTCCCTTGAAAAACACTGAATATGAAGGACCAGCCTTATGTGACTATATGTGCCTTGAATTATCTCCTCTCTTTCCTGTCGACACACCCACCCTCACTGCCAGTTTTGAGGGCCTACTCTTCTCAGAAGAGAATGGACCAAACAATCTCCCACACACTCAAAGTTAGTGCAAGTGGAGACTGTATAACTTAACATGTTTATACACACCACAAAAACTCCATTAAGTTAAGGGGGAAAAAATCTATTTTTGAAGACATACTGTTCTCAAAGATTTTTATCCTTATTGCACTTCTGCACATTAATGCATTTAAGACTACAGAAACTTTGTAAGAACTGTATATGAAAGGTGTAAACCAAAATACATTTAACTTGACGAAATCTTTTTTTCTTTTGTTTTGTTTTTTATGTAAAGACCAGCATCCTTTCTTTGGCTGCTTCCTCCATATACTCCATTTGGCTTTATGAAAGTGTATTTTTTTCATAGAGAAATTCTTTATGATGGCATAAACAACCAGCTGTCAATTCCTTGTTGCTATTTTCGTATGAATTGCTACAAAAATGTCATGTTGTGAAAACCTCCTACACACGTGTGCGCGTATGTGTGTGTATGTATATATACATGTATATGTATATGTGTATATATATATATATTAGACCAATGCTGCCGTTTGGCTTTTTTTTGCTGGAGATCTACAGATTAAAAATCCTACAACTGGCACGTACGGGTGACTCTCTACCTTTTCTAATAATGAAACATTAGCAAATGTTGAGTTAAAAGGATTCTGAATGTTGTGTAATCTATCTGGAGAAATAAAAGTTTCTCTTTCTCTAATTGTGTGCATTTTATTGGATTTTAAACACGCTCATGGCTGCAGTTTGAATGAGAAGTTTCCTGAAGGATACAAAAGCAACTTGGAGATACTGGGAGCATTGGTATAGGAAAAGAAGCTCCACCACAAGCAAAGATCAAAATAATATCCCCGACTCCTCATGACATGCCTAACGAGAACTTACAAAGCTTTTTTCCCCAAGCAGCTTGCCCCATCCTGTGTTTTGTCAACTTGCTCTTCCTCCGACAGTCGACCCATAATGGGCTGTTGACACATGGATTTAAACTGTTGTAGTTGGCCAGGGGACTTCTTGTCTTCTTGGAGCCATTTTTGTACAGCTTGAAATGGTTTACTTAATCACAGGTGCTTTTAGTTTCCCCTCTAGCCCTTCAGAAGCCCACCACACCCACTAGCAAACATTTGACAGGATCTGGTTAATCCCCAGGAAAACTCTGACAATGCTGATAGTAGAATCAGTGACATGTTTTATCTTGAAATGTATTGTCAGATCAAATGTGGCCTTTCGCAGCACCAAACTGTCTGAAGCAAATGGTTTCTCAAATGACAAAAGCAGCTCAATGTATCAGTGGAAACTAATGCACAGTCGTTCATATGAGTAGAATAACTGTGTAACTCTGGCCTCCCTGGAGCATTGTTCATTTTTAGTGGGTCCAATTGTCAATTTTAGCTAGGATCCGCTACTCACCTCACTTTAGACCCTAACCAACTTTAGAAAATTTTCATTGAAGAGCACAACAGAACGACAGAATGAAACTTTTTTCCTCTCAATAAAGGACAATTGCAGATCTTTGAAATCTATTTTTCTAGTGTATGCATGACTTAAAAACAAAACGGCTTCCTGGAAAACTTTGCTTTGACAGTTCCAACCTTCATTGAAACATAATTTGAAAGTACATGTCTGCAACTGGCCTAAAAAAGTTTGAACAGAAGCATATCCTTTCAACAAACCTGCAAAAGCACAAAATGTAAAAAATCCAGATGAGTCCAGGATGTTATTTTATGTTGTCTTACTATATAAAGTGCGAACTTCCATTTTTTAAAATTTTTTGTTTGTAATATCTATTCCCACAAAATTGTCATACTGTTAATTAATGAGATTTAATTAACTGATCAGTAAATATGGAAGTTTTCCCCAATTGTTTTCTTCAACCAGAGAAAAAAAAATTCTGCAAATATCATTCTAACTTCAAGTTCAACTTAACTAATCCTCAGTGTGGTTTTGAAAAGTGTTCTCAAGTTCAACCTCAGCATTCTCAATTTAAAAACAATCATGTTGTCTTTATGTTCAAGTTTTTTTTAGGTGTAAGTCATCTTTTCAGGCCTTAGAATGCTGTGTTTTCTCTGTGTTCAGTGGCAAACAGACTGACTTTGAAACCATTAGTTTGACTTTTTTCCTTTAACGTTTTATAAAAATATATGCTTGCCTGAACAAATCCTTATTCTGCTGTTTGTTAATACTAGAAGCATGAACCTGAGAGATTTAGTCAATTAATTAAGTCAGCCTCTCCTCCAGGGCTGCTTCCGCATCATTAAATATATACCTACTCACACCTGGGTTTCCTCGCGCCTGTTTGCAGGTTCTCGATTGTAACGGCTGTCACGAGCCGCGGCTGGTCCGCGCGCGTGAGCGGGGGGAGTGAGGCACGTGAACGCGCCTGCTCCACCTGGCCCAATCACGTACGACGGAGCTCACAACGCCGCCACCTTCACCCGCTGCCGGGGCGTCCGTCGGCACTGCCTCCGCTGCGGCTCGGTACGCCAGCAGCCCACCTGAGCGGCTCCTAACCTGAACCCCGACACATTTCTCTAGGGAAAAAGTATTTTGTACTAACTCTCCAACGGTGTCGGAGCGGAATACGCGTCCCGACGAGCCTTCTCATCCGTCCGGTAAGTGAGGCGGGACAGTACCGCCACATCATGCCGTGCGTGGATGTGCAGTATGCAGCTCCTCAGTGGAAAGTCACCTTCCAGTGGCAACACATTTGAGGATACGAGAGAGCGTTAAATCCCCCCCTTATTATTTGTTTTTTAATCTCCGCTTCTTCTGCTTGAAACGCCACGGTGACAACATGATGTGTCCTGCAATGCAGTCCAACATGACATCATAATGGAGACTTTGTAGTTTCAGCCCTGAATCTGTTGCTTTACTGTACTCTTACCATAAAAAAACCACTGGCTTCATGGCAGCCTTCTCTGTGGTACAGTGCTGTAAACAGTTCATAGATTGATTCGTCCATTAGTACACACTAATGCAGCTGTTTATACCAACAAATGTTCAATTGTTTTTCATTCTAATGGTCACTTCAGTGAGTATGAACAGAAACAATGTCTTTGATATCATTTACAGGATTTTATCTCCACAGTAAAAATGCAAAGTTTTAAGACTAATCAATACTTCTTTTTTACTCAAGCAAGTATTTTAAGTTTAAGCTCAAACATAACAGCAGATATTCGGCAATGAGCTCAAAATATTGTATTTTCACTGTTTTTAAAACTTTGTTAGAATATGTATTACAGTTGCTGTTGTCATAGCTTCACCAACACAACATAAGACCCTTTTGATTCAACGTGCGAGGCCTTTGTAAGCCTGCTGGTTTTGTTTTGCACCTCAGACCCCAGCCTCCATGGCTTTTGTACAGTTTTATCCACGTCAAGATGATTTAGGGACCAATCTATTCAAGTGTTGGGAACAATACCCCCATATAAAAAAAAAGAGAAAGAGTGTCTTCCCGGGTCATGTAATGGGGGAGTGAGGTGTCTGCCCCCTGGTTGCTGTGGAGGCCGAGAGTAACACGGAGAACTCATTCTTTGACGTCATGCTGAGGATGAAGATACTAGGAGGCAGGATTTATTTGTGGGGAGGGAGGGAGAGGCTGAATGGTTGCTGGCAGTTGGGGTCAACTCGAGTGTTCTTTATTGCCTCAAAATGTGACCTTTTCTTATCAATTCAAATTTTGTCTTGTGTGGAAATTGGAGGAATAACAGTTCTAATTAAAAGAAGACACAGAGGGGGGACGGGGGGATTGAAGTTCTCTCATTTGGGTGTCGACTTAACCAGGTTCTATCACCCGAATCACTCATGTTAAAAACATGATCCAAAGACATGACAGTAACCTAAAACTGACACACCTTTCACACTGTTCTTTTAACAAATGAGGTCTAGATAAGTAATGCTCTGGGGATTTCTGTGTATTCCTGAAAAGTAGACTGCAATGTTATCTCTGATTGCCCTTAGGTAGGGTTTCACATGCGTTAAAGTGTATTTTGATAAGTCATGCTGCGTCTCTGTGCCTTAGGGAGAACCCGTTTCCCCAATGCCATATAAACATGTTTACTTTCTCTCCGTGTCACCCTGTAGTTGTCTCTATGGCGACGTGAACAGATGCTTTATCCGTAAACCCGTGTCTACGACAGGATGTGTGGGCTTCAGCCACTTGTTACGCCAGGGTTTTTCAAGGCTCCCAAGTTCTGCGGTTAATCTGCAGGAGCCTGCGGTGGACCGGGCTCCAAAGCTGCACAATGCTGTGAAGCCAAGAGCTGGATTTGCCTAAAGCTGATCTTGGCACCAGGCTCAGATTGCTGAAGCAACAATTGGAGGTCTGAGCCAGAGGTGATGCAGACGCAGTGGTGTGCTGCAGGCCAGACACCGATCACCTGCTAACAATGGAAGGAGACGGAGAAAACTCCGAGCTCTGCTTTTGATCTGCAGCCTCACAGACGATGCATTCTTCTCGTCGTTACTGTGCCTGAGTGTATTTTGTTTCACGTGGTTTTCCTTTTCTCGCCTTGTATATTTCATTAGGGTGTTGTGTGCTGAGCTTCTGGAGAACATTCTCGCAGGTATATTCAAAACTACTACTTTCCTCTTTTAAGGTGGGACAAGATGTTTCGACATTTAAGTTAACTTCACAGATGGATGGAAAAGAGATGGAAACAGTAACTAAGTCGCAAATTGTTTATGTTCTTAAAAGTGACATGTTTCAGAAGCTGCCTGTGTCATTTGCAATGCAGCTCAGATGGATCCAAATCAGTTCCTTCCCAAACAGTTATATACCTTGCCCATCGGGCTTGGGTGGGCGGAGCTCCATTAACTCCCCCCCCGGTTCATCTATAGAGTATATAGTACGACAAAATTATCTGCTGCTAACCTACAACATTTTAATGACTGAGCTGCTCAACACGTTTTTCTGCCGGGTCAGTTATTAGGAGGATTAGCATAGATTCCTTGTTTGGCTGAGAGTTACGCTTGTTTTACAGTTGGTTATATGACGAGGCCAATCCAAGGCTGAGTTGCAGGTCAGCTGACAGGCTGCAGGTGTGGTGGTCATTCATATAAGTCTTAGCTGAACTTGTCTGAAGCCTGCTCAAACAGCAATTGCCAGAGCTGGCTCGCGTGCTCTGCAAACTGACAGCTTTAATCTTCAAAATCTGGAAACTTGGTTTCAGACGCAGGCTGTTATTAGCAGATTTGTGCTAAGCTTCAGGGGATATGTTGTGCTGGGGCCACTCTGCTGTAGGTGCACGTAGTCTTTATGATATCCTTCGTTCTCTTGCCATGCAGGTGTTTGGGATGCACAGTGAAGGGAGGGCCGATGCACTTTTAGATTTATGTTCAGGGGCTTCTCCAGGAGACGGTTCGCCGAGCTCTTCCTCAGTTTGGAAGAACACGCTGTCCCTGTGATTTCCAGCTGACCCGCACTATAATGGGATTTTTAAAAGTGTTATCAATCCTCGCGTTTTGTCCACCTCAAGCTTTTAATTGCAGCGTGTTACTTTCATCGAAAA